AGACAGCGGTAGTTTTGATGTAGATTTGACATTTTAATTAAGAATTATGCATAATGACAATCCCTTTCCCACCATGTCTTCTCTTCCATCCATAAATATGTACATATATCATCATATTGTCGAGCCATCAGTGTGATTTATCCGATAGTGTCCTTCCATGGCTTCGCCTTGCCACTAGCCGGCTTGTTCTTAGGTGATGCTGCACTGATGGGTGAGTTCTGCTGCAGGGGATTCTGGGTAAAAGTCTGCCTCAGTGGACCTGCAGAGAGAAATAAAGACATTTAAACACCTTTAGTTCCTGTGTCAAAGTCTGGACGTCCCAGACACATCCGGCCTTCAGGATGTGATGGTAGACTTTATAAAACAGTGTTGGCTTTTCTCATCAAGTCGTCTACCGATTACGTCCTCGAATAATCAATCGTTTGGTCTACAAAGTATCAGTAAATAGTGAAAACGGCAAATGTCTCATTTTGTCTAAGCAACCGTCACAATTATATCAAGTTTACTCTCATTGAAGATTAAAAAAAGACAGTGTCGACATTTGATAAAATTAAATCAGAGGACGCTATTTTGGCTTCAAGAAATAACTATAAGCAACTATTAGGAAAAAAAACCGTTTTACATAATTTGATATTATTGGTCTCATAATCCCAGATAACTCTGCACTTCTATTATTGCAAACACCTGCTTTGGCAGCAAGGGGGCGCCACTCATCCAGGTTTAATTCCAGAAATCAAAGTACATGTTGTCCTTCTGTATGCTAAAGAAAACGAATTCTACTGGTAAAAAACATGAAACAATGATGGCCTTTTGAATAAGCAGGACTCGTATTTGCTGTAGCTTCTAACCACATAGGTTGTTTTTTTTAATTCCAGAAACTCTGTATTAATGAGAAACCAACTGTCGCCTTAATGGCTGATTAAAGTGATACTGTCCATGAAATAAACAGTGTCACCGTGTCGCTGATGAAGTACTGGTGGGACTGACCCTTAGCAGCGAGGTCCAGGTGATTTTTGATTCTTCTTTCTCTCTCTTCCAGCTGTTGGGCCAGCTGAGCGTTTTTCCAGCCTGGAGACAAACAGTCCCAAAACAAAGACAGAAATAATTAAATCATTAACATCTCAAGGACTAGAAATCTATTCATAAAATGTCCTTCAGAGCTAATTCATCTAATGCCTGTGTAGACACCCACCCTTCTTCATGCTTTCTATCAAGCCGTCGTTTTGGGGCAGGTCGGAGGCCGGGTGTTTGATCCTCTCGGGGATCTTCAACTTGTTTCTGACCAAGGGGTGTCTGAGCAGGGCGACTTGACCCAAGGAGAAGACGTTGGACGTCAGCCAGTAGGTGAACACCGCCTGAGGGTTTGTTTGAGGAGAAAAGGAATTCACACACAGACAAAAATATCCTTTGTGGACCCACCGTGAGAAGGAACGGATATGCAGATGATGGTGAATTTAAGGTGCAGCGGCTGCATCCCTTCATCATGGATTGGTCAGATTAAACCACTAAAGGTAAAACGGTTGTGTGAGAATGACGGACTGACCGTGGGGAAGTTGATGGTGAGGGGGAGGATGATTAAGGGCATGATCCTGAACACAGTCTTCATGGCTCGCAGGTTTGGGTTGTCGATACCAGACTCTGCACCCAACTAAAAAACGACAGAGCGACAACGTGATTAAGGAAGAGCGGGATTACATGAAACAGATTAAAACCTCCGTAACACATTCTACAGTTACTCTGGTTGGGTGAAAGCCGGCTAACCTCCAGGATGAAGAACATAGTCCCAGTGACGGCCAGAGGCAGGATGTAAAAAGGATCGGCTGCCGTCAGGTCTGTGAACCAGAGCAGGCCTCCCGTCTGCAAGCTAGGGACCGGCAGATAGGCCATCTTCCTCAGCGCGATGAAGAAAGAGATGAAGACTGGTGCCTGGAGGGACAGACACACGAGAGCTGTGACACAAACTCAACAGTAATATATATCTGTTAAGTTCATCCAACATTTTACACCTATGTTATAAATGTTTGAAGGGTATTATATGTTGATCAGGGTGAGATGCAACTGGATACAAATTATTGGCAGTAATATTGCGATGAACATTTTCAAATTAGAAATCAGACCCTGAGGTGCATATCTAAGTTTAAGCCTAAAGCGTGGAGTCAATATCACGGTGTCAAAGCAACACGACACAATCCGGAAACCCATCTAAAGAAGAAATCTTACCTGCACCACAGGAATTAGGAAGCCACGCAGAGGATTTACATCATGCTTCTTCTGGAACAGGTTCAGTTCAGAGTAGGCTTTGGCAACTGGAACATGCAAACAAACAGCTCGTGACAAGTTGCTGCAGGAGTTTTTAAATAAGCACACACGCAAAGATCTAAATTGTGATGAGGAAAGACAAGAGAAACTTTACATTCAAATTTGTTTCCGCTCTGTTTGGCCTCGTTCATCCTGGTGGTGAGTTTGCTCATCTCGGGCATAACATTGTTCAGCTTGGCCGCCTCCCTCTGGCCCTTCACGATGACGGGAAACACAGCCATACGAGCCAACACCGTTCCTTTACGGCAGTGAGAGATGAAGAGAAACGGGTGGAAAAGGATCAGAAAGGATACGGCAACAGAATGTTGAAAGATTGGTTTATAGTGAGTGTTCCTTACCGACCACAATGGCGCCCCACCAGGGCAAACCAAGATCCACGTGCATGAACTCTAACAGGTTCTGGATCAGCCCCACTGGTGTGTAGCCGGCCAGTCCCAGCTCCGCTAAACTGGTTTCTGTGGCTGCAGCCTGGAAGACCTCCAGTGCCGTCGGTGCAGCATCTATCATCTGCTCAATGGCTGGCTGCGACAAAACAGCAGCGGGGTCAGCGGACAAAAGCTCAGGGGAGGAATTCAAGAGAGGGGGGGAGAGGTCCACCAATGGTGCTGCCATGGAAACGGGTTCACCCACGATCTGAAAATGGATTCACATCAGTAAAGGTTAAAATGTCAATGTCAAACTAAAAAGGCCCTTGAAAGATGGTTCTACTTCAGATGAGGGCTCCACCTGTTCAGCGATGGGTTGTGTGATGACCGGGGTCGGGTCAGCAGGGGGAGAGAAGGGGGAGGACTCCAGGACCGGAGCTGCTCTGGTTCCATCCTCAGGCGGGATCTGGAAATGATCCATAGCAACAAGGTGATTCATTTAACCAACAGAAAAATTGCAAAAGCCGTACAAACTATAGAACTAACTAAGGGCCATGGTGCAATGAAGGAAAAACCTAACCATAGAAAAGGAAACTGCTTGAAAAATATCAAAAAATAAGACGCGTTTACGTGTAAGCAATTAGAAAATATTACTAAAGATGTGCATCTATCATATAGTCATATCCGCCACATTTCATAAAAAATATGTTTTCTTACCATCTCTAGCTCAGATAATTGACATGGATAAAAAAAAAATCGTATCAGACTTGTACTAAGGGTGACCCGAGTTTGATCCCAGAGAAAGTGCCGCTCACTTCTCACCGGCTGCTTTGACCATCAGAATGATGGTTAGACAGACGCCTTTGTTCCAACTGACCTGTGAGCTGTTGTGTCTGACCGCCACGGCGTTCACCCACAGGAACTTCCCATTGGGTCGGCGGCCCAGCAGAGTCCTGGTGGCGGGACAGCGGCACTCGGACGCTGTGTGCAGATGGGAGTTCTGGAGCAACCGCTGTTTGTCAGAGAGACGCAGTGTCAAGTGAGCCAGATATACGGATATGTACACAACGTATTAAATGTTTAGATCAATAACTACATCATTAGAATATTTACAATGTGACCTGTGTGACTCATAACCTCAGATAACCACAGAAAAAGTTCCTCTCTATTCCTCTCCTAAAGTTCTCAGGTGATTCTCCTGCATACGATACTGTCAAAACTAACTTACCACATTCATTGAGCATGAAACGGAACCTTAAGATAATCAGATACTCCTCATCAAGTATTGATGCAGATATTAATACACAATATTGAATTGCTTTAACTGGTATGCCTGCATAAAAACTGAAATAAGGAAATGAATTAATCTGAGAAGTAGAAATGTACCATTAAACAGACCTTTCTAACATAAACATCAGGAGAAAACCCCACGTGCAGCAGCTCTCGGATAAACATTCGCCTCTGGTGACAGCAGCTAGGTCTAGAACTAAGCAGGTTAGCAGGTTTAGCTTAAACCCGTAAGAAGAGCAAAGCTAATAGTGTTCTAGAGATTCTGGCTATAGTCCCATGCTGTTCCTGTTTAAAAACCCGCCGATGTAACAGTTGCACAAGAGCCGAGACGAGGCTGACGCTGTCAAAGTCACACAGAAGACACAGACTGAGCAGCGGGGATGCTAGCCGGCTAGCGAGTTAGCCTGTGAAAGTCGCAATTTGCGTCTTGGGTTCGGGAGCGGGGATAACAAGACACACGTGATACTGTGAAGAGAACGTACGTGTTTCCAAATGTCTGAAAGTGGATGGCTGCCTCGGCTCGGTTTTCCACTCTGTCTCAGGAAACATCCCGCTAGGCGACCCGGAGTCACCCCGCTCCTGATGGCGGCCATCTTTGAGAGAAATACCTTCCTACGGGAAGCGCGAATGGTCAATTCTCCTTTTTCCATGCGCTTCGCTCTGTTCCGTGAATACGTTTCTTTGTGTTTATTGGTATAATATGCAATGTTATTCTGGTCAACCGTTGTTCTCATGAATACTTCCTTAAGGGCATTCTCAGATCTCTAGATCATCAGTCTCTGACAAAGAAGTATTTTCATCTATTTCCTGGTTCAAAGTGTTCTTTAAATGTGTACATGATGGACTTAGGTAAGGTTAAACCAGAAGAACAACATGAAGAAAGTTGATAGCAAATTTTACTTCAACGTCCATCCTAAAACATAATCACCTTTTCTGTTAAAGTAGAAGAAACTTCTTTTATGACAAAACAGGATAATCTTTTCTGCCATCATGACCTGACCTTTCACAAAAACAGTGTGTCTAATCATATATTTCATGAGCTCTTTTTATTTTTATTTTACATTTATTCTCTTAAAATCACCAGCAGAATCTAACAAATATCACAAATTATCAGAATAGTTTGGTTCAAAGTTACAAACATCAATCTAAAGCATCTATGATATGAATCAGCGGGCAGTGCAGTAATACAGTAATTGTGCACTAAGCAAACACAACAGTTAAATAAGTAAACCAAAGAAATATCCATACAAAACTTCCATTTGGACCCTAGACTGATCAAACACAGAATCTTCCAAATACTCTGCTGTACATGATGCACATAGGTGAGGTTAAACCAGAAGAACAACATGAAGAAAGTTGATAGAAAAAGGAGGATGACAAATAATCCTGAACACAGACTCACAGAGCAGGTGATCAATACCAGTCCCCACTAGACCGCAGAGAGCCTTCACATCTTCTACCGCAAACTAAAGACACACCTCTTCAGACTCTACCTCGACTAAAAGCCTAACAAATTGTAGCACTTAAATTGTACCTATAATAGCTCTTATCTATAGAAGGATGTCGATTGGCTTACTTAATGAAATTGCACTTTCTTGTTCTTCTGAGTTTGTATCCTTATAGTTGAAATGCACTTATTGTAGATCGCTTTGGATAAAAGCGTCAGCTAAATGACATTTAATATTTAATATTATCCAATGCAATATCCAACATATTTATATGATTCACAACTTTTTCTTAAAATGTTATTATTGTTATTTTACTTCAATGTCCATCCTAAAATAAAATCCCCTTTTCTTTGTTAAAGTAGAAGCAAAAGGCCTAATTAAATAAAATTAGCACTCAACAGTTCAATAAAAAAAGAAAATATCCATACAAAGACCATTTGACTTCTCACTCTAAAATGTAAATTCGATATATGTTGCATTCAGTGAAATTGCTCAATAAAATTTCTCAACAACTTGACAGAGAGATTTAAAAATTAAAAGGGTAATAGCATAGCAAGAAACAACCATCAAAACTTTGATCTTTCAATCCACATATATCATCTGTTTGTTCCTTGAATTTAAACATTTATGAGTCAATTTTCAAAACATTACATTAACCCATTTCCGACTGCTGCAATAGATCTTTGAGACTTTATTTTCTTGCATTGAAAAGGAAACAGAAACCAGCACCACCGATCATCAATACATTGAAACTTCTTAGTCTCACTCTGCCTTTTTTCGGCTTTTCCGCGAAAAACAAAAACACCCACAAATATTTTTTTTTCTGTTTTTCACCAGAAGGGAAGAGCGACGCCTCAAGAATCTTCTCTTCTTAGCTTTCTCTTTCACAGCACGTTTTTTCCCAACATGTTCTCTCTCATTCTTTCTCTTTTTTATTTTGTTTTTGCGTTTCTGTGACGCTGTTAAAGGCGAGACATTCAGTTTTAAAAAGCAAAAAGCCTCTGGCAATGTGACCGTTGCATCTGTCTTTGGATCAGATTCGATTTTAGCATTTCCTTCATCATGTTCTACCAAATTCTTATTGCTGCCTTGAGAGCTTCCTTCTACAGTTGTTATTTGTTTGTTCCTTGTAAAAGTGATCTCTTGAACACCATTCATGGTTTCTTCCGCAATTATCTTTCCATGATTTGATTTTGACTTCTTTGAATTATGTGTTCCTTCCACAGCATTCTGACTAAATCCAGTTCTCACTTCTGATGGTTGAGACTTTTTGACACGGCCATCTCCTCTGTTGTCCGCCACGCTGCTACTTCCTGTTCTCCTAAGAGAAGAGTGTGCTCCCTCAACATGTTCATTGTCTCCTTTAGCTCTCTTTACTGCTTTCTGTGATGTACAACGCTCTGAACTTCCATTCTGATCCTGTTCTCGTCTGTCTGATGCTCCCTTCCTTTGTACATGCTCATCAACTCTTCTCTTTTGTTGCTGTTTATGCTGTTGATCTTTTGGCTTGTTTTGTTTACTCTTACCAGCTTGGTTGAATTGAATGCTATCATCGCCCTGCAGAACCTCCTGTGGTCTCCTGTGTTTAACATCATCTTTTCTGATATTGCTATCACACGGATCATTGCTATTTTCTCCAAGTGGAGTTTTTTTTGGGACGCCTCTAGCAGGAGACATCTCTCTGATATTCTGAGTACAAGTATCAGCAGCTTCCACTGGAAAACAGATAGAAAAGAAATTAAGCCAAAGTACCAAGTAATGTCAACACTGCACATCAATAACAGAGTGAAAATGTCTGCATCTCACCTTTCTTCATCCTGTAGAAAAGCAGATAAGCGTGGGTGGATCTAGAGGGAGAAATGTGCAAAAGAGAGAAAAGGTCATTTTCAAATACAGGTTAACCTGCAGCAACATAATCAGTGGAGGTGATGTGTGGGTGCTTTAAAGATTGGGAATGGGACGGAAATTTATACATTCATAGTTAATGAAGAAATAATGAAACTTACGTCTTAAAGTTATCCACCTGAAAGGGCTGGTAGTCCATCTTTAGATGGAAAATAATAAAGAGACATAACATGATGAATCATCACTGCACTACTGTCAACAGAATGTGTATTTGTCAACAACGCACCAAGTGATCAGTCTTACCAATGAGACCCTTGTATCATCAAAGTGGTACCATTTCTCATCGTCCTGCGGTCTGATTGTTGCAGTGTAATGTCCACCTCTCAGATCTCCAACATGATCCACAACCGCGTACAGTTCATACGTCTGATTCTGATCACCAGCAGAAGACATGACAGGTGTCATTGTCAGGAATGAAGAATAAATGTTTCACAATAAAATAGTAAATTATGCCTCACCTCTGGTATCTGAAGGGTGAAGGGAACTTTCACAGTTTGGTTGATTTTGACATACGTCATGTACTGGTAGTCAAACTCAAACCTCTTCAGCAGCAGCATCAAGACCTCTGGATGATGCTTTATTTCACATGTCTGAAAGATACGGATCCACAACACTTGTTACCATCATAAAACTGCTATGACCTAATAAACTGCTAATACTAAGAGCCCATGTATGCAAATCAGAAACACGCTTCCTCATTACTCACAATAGTTGCATCAGATTTCTCCTCACACTTGTCGCAGTACAGCTGGTCTTTTCCGCTGAAATGTGAAGCTCTGAAATACTTCTCAATGTCGTCCTCCTGATAAGAAGCAACCCGTGTTATTAGCATGTAAACTAGAGGAAGAATTCATGCACAAGACCAAATGAACGTAAAAGTTTCACGTAAAATTACAGAGAATAAATATAAATTCATCTACGCATTCACAAATATTTAGTCTGACTAAGAAAATAATTTGACGTTTTTTATCATCAATGTAAAACCACATAACTTTGTAGTTGTCAGGTCTTGATGTTCCTTACCACGCTGTGGTCTCTGCTGTTGAAATCACCCAAAGCAAGAGGAAGATGCCAGAATGCCTCGGACCTGTCAGTCTCATTATGACATGTAGAACATTTGGTCTTTTGTGTCGACTCTCCGTGAAAGATCTGAAAGCACACAACTGGTAAACAAAGGATTTCTTCTCTTGAGGTACAGAATCCTTTTGATATTGATGATGTCGTCTTTACCTGTGATGCAGCTTCACTGGTCAGACGTAAAATCTTCTCAAAGTACTCAGCAGCATCACGTTGTTCGTACACTGAGGAGGAAATCAGTGTGAGTTTCTTCAACAAAATAAAGGTTCATGTTGCCAAGAAGACTTTGTGTCAATATTAAAATAATTAAAGGGGTCTGTGGGGATTAAATGAACAGCTGATATTATTTTCTGTCACTACTGTGCTTCATGTGAACTTCATGTCATCTGTTGTTCTGACATACTGTACCGTTATCGATGCCCAGCTTCTCCGTGATGTTGTAGGTGTAAGCCTCATGTTGTTGTAAGTCATGAAACAAGGATGTAAGTTGATCAATAAACTCATTCGCTGGGTTGTCACAGACGTGTCTGTATAAAATAAAGACACAGTGGGGTAAATACATCAGAGACTGCAGCTTCAATGTGTTTAAATGATTTACATGAAGGAAAGTTGGAGTTTGGTGAAAAACCTTTTCACAGCTTCTCTGAAGTTTTTGGTCATGAAAAGCACCTGCAGGACGCTGTTCAGGTAACATGTTGCCCCTTCGTTCTTCAAGCCGTGGTACTTTGTAGCTGCCGGGAGCAGATTGTTAACAGTGAAGCTAAATTGTTTAACTGTCTTCACTCCGTTATAGAGATCAGTTCATCTTACCTTGATAGGACGGCATTTTGTAGAAAAGATGTCGATCTTAGTCCCACTGATCCATTTTGAATCCTGTCGATCGGGTTTCTCAGTCCGCTGCTTCACCGTCAGCTACAAAGCAACTCGTAATTACTTACTGGCAATGAATCAATCACAACTCACGACTCAGAATCACTGTGAGCTCACATTTAGTTTACAAATTCTTTCAAGTCAAACCCGGTTGTTGTTCCGATGTTTTGTTCATTGACACCAACACACAGTCTCTCTGTCTCCTGTAAAACCCTCAGAGTACTTTCTCTTTCACTTTAATAGAAACCCCTCTGCAATGGTGCATTCAGGGTGTGTCGGGAATTATTTTTCTAACATACACTTCCTATGATTCTATTACAATAATATGGATCAAAAGTCTCTTTGCGCAAAATAATATAAAATGCAAGGTACGATACAGATTGTCTTCTGTCTGCTTTACTGGAGGACTTGAATTTGCAGCTGTCTGATGTTTATTTGGCATTTTTGGATCACCTACTTAACCATAAAAATCTGTTCATTACATGATACCTGACGGAGTGTAGTGAATTGTAATTTTTGTAAAATGTATTTGAATCCCGTCACAACGATTGGAAGCTTACTATAAACGTTGTATTGTATTATCTATCTTTGTTATTTAAAATGAAACTGATAAGACATTTTAATGATATTATTTTATTAATGGGATTATTTATGTATTCATGTTCTCTTATTCTGCTGTAGAATCCTTGCTTGGTCCCATCATGGACCCTGTTCGTCATCAGACTTTCTGTCTCTGATATCGTGTTGATGTGGATTCAGTGTCGCTTTATTATCTGATCACTTCATCAAAGACAAGACTTAAGACTGAACCTTTTTTTATTTTGTGGAAAAGCAGCAGTTGGCTTTTATAAACATGGCAATAGTCAAATAAGCATTTTAATAAAACAGAAATTCTTGTAATATGTGCAAACAGCAGCAGGGGGAGTTGGTCCCGGTCAAGCGATCAGTCCTCCAGGAACCCTCATCACCATTTGGATGATGGACTGTTGCTGGATGCCAAAATCAGAAAGCAGCAGCTCGTTTCCATCCAGCATCTTGTCCGCGAAGATCAGCCGCAGAGTCTCCAATCCTACACACACACACACACACACACACACACACACACACACACACACACACACACACACACACACACACACACACACGTTTATAGGTAAACTTAATTCTTGACCTTATAACTATCTACAAGGAATCTGTTTCTTCTTCCATTACAAAACTCTGATGGGTGATATTGCAGGTCTTAACCTCTGATTCAAGTATTTCAACAGAAACCTCAACAAACCTGTATACCAGAGCATTTGTCTTGTTATGCATTTTCTCTTTGTCGAAGTGATGTACCATGCACCGTGTCAAATTCCTTGTATGTCTAACATACTTTGGCAATACATGTGCCTGATTCCTGATTATCAAATACTCAGTGTGAACGATTTAGCTAAGCACTAAAATATTGTACTTAAATACAACATTGAGGTATTTTGAGTGTTTATGGTGTTACTTTATCCCAATTCGTAGTGTACTTCTTTGGTTAACCCAACTAACAACAGCCAGTATAGTCTATAGGTGCTCATTTAAAAAAGAAATTGAACAATTCTGCTCATATGTACGTGTATAATAATACATTTACTTTTCTTACAGGTACTTAAACAGGTACTTTTTCTTACAGGCTACATTTGCTGTCAATCATTTTAGTCCAGCACAATGTTGAATGCTATCAAGTGTTTGCCTTCTAGGATAAAGTAAAATACAAATGGAAGCCAGACAAAATGGAAGTCAGGTGGTGAAACGTTTAATTACCAGCGGTCCCAGGAAGTCTCTCTGCGATCTTTTCCTTCAGCTGCAGCACCGTCATTTTCTTAAACTGCTCATCCGTGTTGCACAGGTCGACCACCATCTTCTCCCCCCTCAGCCCGTACACAACTACCTGGTAGATCTTTCCCATTTCTCTGCTGTCTGTGGGGGTTTTGTGCCTAAGTTGGTCTGCGTCTTTCTGCTGCGCCGCTCGGAAAGAATGAGACTCCAGGGCGGTGACCAGAAACCTCTGACTTAAGATGATACTTTCACTTTTGTCTCAACGGTGCAAAATACAACACACAAGTAGACGACTTGTAAAAACAATCAGAATATGTGGCACCGCCAGAGATGAAGGGTTAGTGATGATCATGACCAGTGGTGTAGTATTTATGCATTATATAGCATATCTATATGTCCTTGATATATTATATAGTTTATAGTATATATTTTTGCAGTAAGTATACTCTGATTTTGCCCTCCCAGCGTCTGTCCCAGAGCGGGGGGGCGTTTTTTTAATTGATGCCACGCGATCGACTGAACGTTCTGTCACAACGATGTTTCGCATCATCGCGTTTTTGTTGGTGGGTTAACGGAAATCATTGACTTTTCCCAGTGGGTATACGGCGTATCACGTAGACGACACCACTGACGTATTCTTCAGTTTCATCTGGTCAGGTGTTGTTGTTCCGATGTCCAGTTCATTGACACCAACACACAGTCTCTCTGTCTCCTGTAAAACCCTCAGTGTACTTTCTCTTTCACTAGCAAATATATACAGCAATGGTGCATTCAGGGTTTGTCAGGAATTTTCTTATGTGGAGTCAGTTCCCATTACTGACAAGGAAGTTCAAGAATATGAAACAAACTTATCTTAGCGCAAATAAATGTAAAAGGCAAGCTACTGTACAGTTTATCTATCTTAATTCTCAGATTTATCGGGCGATGTTAACGCAGCATTTTCAGCTGTCTGGTGCTTCTTGGCATTTTGGATCATCTACTTTATCCATAAAAATCTGCATATCACATAATACCTGACGAGTGTAGTGAATTGTCATTTTTGTCAAACGATGAGAAGCAAGTTGGTCTGCGTCTTTCTGCTGCTCCGCGCAGAGAGAATGAGACTCCAGGGCGGTGACCACAAACCTTAAGATGATACTTTCACTTTTGTCTCAACGTTGCAAAAGAAATACTGTGAGGGGTCAGGACTTCGACTCAGGTGCAGAGCAATAAGGCACAGAAGGTTCTTTGCAGGTTTGGAATCTATTACTAGAAAAATAAACTAATGCAAGACAAAAGGGTGCACAGGCAAAGGCGGAATCCACACGCTCTTGAAGAAACAAAAAAAGGAAGAGAGGCTGGCAACGAAGTAAAAACGTAAAAACAAGTTTACCAAAAACAGCACTGGGGACTTCTAACTACAAACATACACCTCTAGGAAACACAAAAGATAACCTGACACAGACAAGTGGGGGAACTGAGGCTTAAATACAGGTGGAGGTGATTGCAAACTAAACTCAGCTGTGGGGAGAAACAAAGGGTGAGAAACTAGATACAGGAAGTGCCGTGGTTACAAAAACAAAAACAGGAAGTTAATCTTCACAGTCTCTTCGAGTCGTCACAAATACGATACAACACACAAGTAGAAACAGAGTAGGTGACACTGTCAGAGATGAAGCATTACTAATGATTACAGTTGTTAAAATATCAATTATTATCATCACTTATTCTTCAGTTTTATCTGGTCAGGTGTTTTTGTGGTTGTGACTTTTGAACCCAATATTTCCTAAAATACAACATGTGTTCTTTATTCAGTTTCGGGATCTGGTTTTAATAGCTAGGAGCTCTGATATTCCACCACGACCGGTTGTCATCTGTCGGAAGTAATGCTGCTTTACCAGCCGTTACGCATTCTGGTGGAATATGAAACAATTATTTTGAAATATACGGGGTTTCATTATATTTTTGCAAAAGAGGCACTCAGTTGATTCGGGCCACTGCTGCTTTGCCTGCAACTTTGACTGCTGCTTTGCCTGCAACCTTGACTGCTGCTTTGCCTGCAACCTTGACTGCTGCTTTGCCTGCAACCTTGACTGCTGCTTTGCCTGCAACTTTGACTGCTGCTTTGCCTGCAACCTTGACTGCTGCTTTGCCTGCAACCTTGACTGCTGCTTTGCCTGCAACCTTGACTGCCGCTTTACTCAGTAGTTAATCGTTTAGTTTGTATTTCTTTTGGTTTGTTCCATTTATTTTCTTTTTGTTTGGGTTACGTGAATTGTTTGGGATTAGGATGATTTTTATGTGAATTATTTTCTTTTTCTGTTTTGTGTTGTAAATTTTTGGTTTAATCCTCTTGTAAACCTTTTTTGTCATCCTTCCCAGCGGCTGTAGGCTGGTGGTGGCGCCGGTGGTGTGGGTGGTGGTGGTCTTCTTCGTGTGTCGTGTCCCATTGGATTGTTGTGCTATCACTGGGTGAACTCTGGTTTGGTTTTCTCTAAGTTTGTTCTATTAATTTTCCTTCCCCTTCACCGGCGCTTCTCACCATTAGGCCGTAGCGATTAGTTTTCTTTTCTTATTTTGTGAGGAATGTTAGATTTTACGGGAATGTATATTTATTGAATAAAAATGTTTTTGTAACCTGGGAACCACGAGCCCTTGCCTGTTGAGTGAAACGAACCCGCGTGCTTTAAAAGGTCTTGGGCCTATCCCAAGTGGCGTTGCCGGTAGAACAGGGAACCATTTCGCCACACTTGGCGTTGCTGGCAGGACAGGGAACCATTTCGCCACAGGTGTTTTATAAGAATTCAACACTGTCGAGAGTGTGCTGCAATACAACAATAATAATCATTTTAAAAAAGTGATTCGAAGGGATGCAAGAAGGGGAATCCAGAGCCGCCAGCCTGCATTCACGTGACTTCTTGTAAGAGTCAAATGGGGGGAAAGTGAAAGAGGAAACGACAGAAACAAATCTTCGGTGGAGTCGGTGAATGTGACACTCAGCCTCTCACTGCGCGTCGAGGGCTCAACGACAGAAGCAGTCCGTCGACGGTGAGCTAAAACCAAAATGACGACTCAGGAGGAGAAAAGATACGACCCCAAAGACACCACTCTGAAGTTCGTCAACAGACCAGATGACCTGGATCCACTACGTGAGTACAAAGAAAATAAAACTAGATGAATGCAATGTTATTGTCATTTTTATGCAACGTTTCCTTTTTCATGTTGTGTTGTGCCTGCGTTGGTTATATCAATTAAGTGAACTAAACGAATAGCACGTTGAGTGTTCTGCTTTGTTTATACTTAAACATGGACGCATCTGCCAGCCTTTATTAATCATATTTTTCTGGATGAGACTAATGGTGAGTTCAATGTCTGCTCTTGCTGCTGTGTTTCTCAGCTCCAGGGGAGGGAGACCAGTGTCTCCGGGCAGAGATGTCCTGCGGTCATGCCGTCACCCCAGAGTCTCTCACTGGCTGGTGCCGCAGTCTGCTGGATCAGGTATCTCTCCTCCACCTCATTAACAGAGCACTGAAGAGGAACTTTCACTCCGTGTCAGAGGAGTTTTCACTCAGTCTCCTAAGAATTAATTAATGTTCTTCTTCCACCATCTCACTGGAAATAAAACAGACCCAATTTTAACAGGTGCCATGTATCGTTTTTGACACATATTCCTTTTATAATAACAATAGCTTCCTCACATCATGCACGGTGTGTGTGCTCATTGTGTGACCTTTGTCCAGGCCAGATGTCATCAGTTCATTAGCCTGAATGACACCGTCCTCAGGTTGCATGCAAGGGGGGCTCCGACAGTTCAGACCACACCTTTAGCTGATAATTTAATGTCTTTTTCATTTCAGGGCCAGTACAAATTTAAGTGCCCTGCTTTGAAGGGAGGCACCTTGAAGAAGTGTGATGCTGTGTGGTCTTATCGAGAGGTCCGCAGACTGGCAGTGCTGACACCCGAAGAGATGCAGCACTTTGAGGAGAACATGGCACGTCTGGCTGCAGCAGAGTACTGTGAATTTAAAACAGTGAGTATCCCGGTGTTGTTGAGTTCAGCACACCTGATTTCAGTATTAAGAAATAAACAATAGAGATTTAACATTGCAATTGCTAATGTTTTACAGTCGCCGGTAGGCAGACTTTGTTTTAGTTGGCCAGAGCTACGCTATCTACTTCCAGTCTTTGTGCTAAGCTAAGCTAAAGGTGCACTTTCTCAAATTACAACAAAGCTAAAACATGAATTAAACTTTCCCATCACTGTGTCTCACATCCTTTCCATCAGTGTCCCGGGTGTAACACCTGTGTGGAGCGAAAGGACCTGAGTAACCTCAGCGTTCAGTGCACACTCTGCACAGCGGACAAGGGGAAACGTTACGACTTCTGCTGGCAGTGTCTGAAGACATGGAAGGGTCCAGCGCCTCGCTCCGACCGCTGCAACAACGACGGCTGCATCAACAACGACATCGAGCTCCTCAAGAACTGCAGGACCACCGACCTCCCTCAGGTGCAGGGGGTTGATGCGTGTCCTTCTATCCGGGCCTGTCCCACCTGCGGCCAGAAGGTGGAGCACGACAAAACGGGCTGCAAGAACATCATCTGTCCTCGCTGCCAAGTCGAGTTCTGCTTCGTGTGCCTGAAGCTCACCCCCGAGTGCCTGAAGACGAGCTCCTACTTCATCCCCTGCAGTGATGGTGTAGCTCCCAGACAAACCTCCATACCTGTGTGGCACAGAAACTAAGACCTCGTGCGCTCATAGTCACTGCTCATATTGTAGCTCACAGCATGATGTTATTTCCTGCCTGGATTTTATTCTAAGATTCTATTTGCAACTGACGCTCAATGTCTAAATATTTATTTGTTAGTTAAAATTGTGAGCATTAAACATATCTGCGATGTTGTAAAAGGCACAATTGTAATGCTTCTACTGAAAGTTAAAAATCCCTGTTCGTGGTTCATTATTGACAACTCCGTCACTTAATAAAGTTTACCCTTTACAATACAGAACGTCTATTTGGCATGTGAATACATTTCCTCTATGTTTTAGAAAGTTCAATACCAGCTGAATAGCAACTTGATCATTGCTTTAATAAGGTCATTTAATGTCACTTGCAAACAAAGTGGAATAGCTGCCTCGGGTCAATAACATCCATATTTAACATTCACAACCATCTTTCATTTAGTTTTTCAAAAAAAAAAGGCAAATCCAAAAGAAGCAAAAGCCACAGCAAAGGTCTAAATAGGCAGAAGTAAGAGCAGGACTACACAGATTATTTTAATTTCACAATGTGTGTGGAGGTTTAACTGTAAAATAAAACGGCAATAAAGTCACAACACCCTCTAATTTCACAAACTTGTTTTGCAGGCCCAATTTACAGTAAATTACTGGCTACCTATCCATTACTTGTTAAGTTTACATGGTGATTCTGCAGCAGCATACCGCCCCATGACAGTAACCCGATGGGCATTTTACTGTGACATCACACGAGCAGCAAGAGCTTTAACTTGTCACGTTAATATCAGGTGTAAATGAGTAAATAAGTAATGGCATTTCTTCACAGACACGTCCCGGTTTGTATAATGTATTTTTTGCCAATTGATGTCACTTATTTCTGCAGCTGTATGAGGTTTTGGGCAGAACCAAAACGTAGTGAATTTGGCAGAGGACCTGTAGCCCCCTCTACAGGCAATTCCCCAAATAACGTTTGATTACTGGGAAAGTGGTTTAATGACTTTTTCACATATATGGTTATTTTTAAAGTTAAGCGAAAAACAAAAGACAAATGTTAAATGTTTGTACAAATGTGTGTTGGGACTGTGACACTGTTACCATATCCACATAGCAACTGATACTGCAAGACGTGACATACCAATTTAAATGTTTTAACAGAAATTGAGGATTTCGGTACTCAGCAACCACTGCATTATTTTCCCGTATGAGCTATTCCAAGTGTTTATCGGTATCATTCTTCACCTCTGTAAGAGCCATATTGTTATTGTTTTGTTTTTTAACCTCCTACCACTTGGGGGCGTAGAGCACTGTTTCAATTAGGCTACAAGGTTCGTATACACGGACCTACACGGAGCCCATCGCACCTTCTTTCACTTTCTTTATAAAACCCCGTCGCTCACACCTTCGATCAGAGGCTCAATGACTTTACATGGATCACTGCGCTTTTTAATTGAGGTAAATCCTCTTCTAGACTGAGTCGTTTCAGGCGTGGCTGCTGTGCTTCCTGGTTTAACAATTTATTTAAAGGAAATTGGAAAAAAGGCTCGAGTGAGAGAAATTGGTCCTCCAAGGTAAGATATAACTTCCGCTAAACCACGCCAGCTGGTCTTGCTAATGAATTTTGAAATATATACGATACTGGGATAAACATTTAGTTCATGGCTTGGCTGTTGTATTACATCACACTAAATTACCTTTTTACAAAAGTTTAACAAAGTACAGAGAAGGTTTTATATAGCAAACTAATCAGTATATATTTTAATGGGTAGGGCTACATTCCATATTCACACCTGCCGCTTGTTACTCAAACATCAAGAGGACAATAATCAGTGTGGTAGTCCTTGTCCAGTTAAAAGCACAAACATCACTATAATTGAATTAAATGTACCTAAATCTCATCTGTGTGTTTAGATCAATAGTGATTAACCTCATATTTCATGTCTAAATACAGTGATCATGGAGGCTATATACCGTAATATCGGGGACATCATTAGTGCTTATTTAATATCTATGATACAGTGATCAATGATGCTATAGATGAACACTTACATTGTCAAACAATGAAATAAAATAACAAATAATGCCTGTTTGTGTTTACTCCACAGCAGCAGACATGTCCGCCTCAGTTCCCTGATTCGTCACACATTCACAAACAAATTGCTGAAAATCTTTAAAAGGCATCACAAATCCATTGCAGCGTTTACGATTGTATAAGTGAGCACAACATTACAGCCACGTATGAAAACATTTATTTAAGAAAACATTAAAGATCAGGATTCGAACCCCGTTGGGCAAAAGATCAAAACACCATTCTGGCGAGTGGTCTAGGAACCTGCGTCACCTTTGGCATATTTTATCCATTACAATGACGTAGATCCGTATGGAGGAAACCTTTTGGTGAAGTTGACCTGAAACAACTGGTTACCTTGGGCGGGTCTTACAACACTTCCAAACATGTGCAAAGCTACTTTTTCGCGAGGCTGCAGCCTTGCATCGACACATTTGGATAAAAAAAAACATTGTTTTTGGACGGCATTGTGTGACATTTACCACAGCCACGTACAAAATAATAGTTATGAATATATATTAAAATATTAATCCTGGTCAGTTCAATCATTAATTGATTAATAATTATTTTTTTTAGTGGCAGAAATGGGCTTCCATACAGAAGGCATTATTCACAATGGCATTTTATTTACATATTCCCTGGTTTAAACTTTATTTACAAGCATTTTATCCATCAAGTTTTGCTGCTAGTAAGTGTGCCAAATGAACATGTTTTGAGTCTGACATGGTTCAAAGTATTAACTTAAATGCTCCTTTGACAAGCTGCTTCCCCTATAAATGTATCATGTGGACAGAAGCCAGCAAGAATTCCCAAGTGCCAATTCAGGAACTCAAACTGAGTTACAGCTCCCATCCTGATGGAACATGTTGACAGCCTGGGTGTCCTGTCAACAGAATATTTTCAAAACGTTTCCAATTAACGCCAATGGCTCATGAATAAAAGTACTGAATCTGTGGCCCACAGTTTGTGAGCAAAATGTGAGCATGATAATGTCCAAAATTGACAAAGATCAATAATACGATTTATAAAATCCAAGTCGTTGTTAAGGATGCGTGGGGGAGGCAGGACTCAGACTTCTCGGAAAACAAAAGACTTTAATAGTAAAGGCAAAATCGAAAGGCCAAGTGGCAAAAACACACGAACCAGGGGGAAAAAAACAGCAGGCCGGAAACCACGGACATCCACGACAAAAGACAATGACGCGACAAGTGACACAAGAGACACACGGCTTAAATACACAAGGGAGGTGCAGGTGATTGGACACAGGTGGAAACTATTAGACGATCACAGGGGATGACGGGACAAGGCAGGAAGTGAAATTACTCGGGGGACACGAGTGGGCAGAAAACTACAAAATACAACAGGAAGTGAACCACACCGTGACAGTATCTCTCTTCTCCTTAAGGGGCCGAATTCCAGACTGCTCACACTAGAGCGGACAAGGGTGGGGGGGAGGGAAACCCGAGACGTTGGTCGGACCACCCGGGAAACTCTGGCGGGCGGCCAGACGACAGGGGAGCCTCCGGTGGTCGGCCCGGCGGACGGTCATTTGGCCGGCTCCGGAGCGGCGACTGCAGGGCACGGAACGTCTCTGGAATGGCAGGCTCTGAGACACGGGAAACCTCCGGGGTCGTCGTCGGCGGCTCGGAGACACGGGAAACCTCCGGGGTCGTCGTCGGCGGCTCGTAGACACGGGAAACCTCCGGGGTCGTCGGCGGTGGCTCGGAGACACGGAGCATCTCCGCAGTCGCCGCCGGCCGCCCTGAGACACGGAACACCTCCGCAGTCGGCGGCTCAGCCCCCTCCATAGCCCCCCCCACAAGGGGCGGATCCCAGACGGCCCTCAAATCACCAACGGGAGGGTGGGAGAGGACCATGGGATGAGAGGGAGGGAGCCTGAGTCTCGGAGCGGGGACTGGCCGAGTCGGGGTCGGGGCTGAGAGTCTCTGAGTCGGAGGACCGAGTCGGGGAACGGGAGATCGCTGCGGCGGCCCAGCGGGAACGGGAGATCGCTGCGGCGGCCCAGCGGGAACGGGAGATCGCTGCGGCGGCCCAGCGGGAACGGGAGATCGCTGCGGCGGCCCAGCGGGAACGGGAGATCGCTGCGGCGGCCCAGCGGGAACGGGAGATCGCTGCGGCGGCCCAGCGGGAACGGGAGATCGCTGCGGCGGCCCAGGGCTCCTCCTGGGATTTAGAAGATCCCGAAGCTCGAGGCAGGCGAGCTAATAGCCCCTGGGACCAAAGATGAAGTTGGTCTTCCGCCGCCAGAAGGGACTTCTCACGTCCAAGTACTCGGGTCCGTAATCTGGCAGCGGGTCTGCAGAGCCCTTCTTTGGTCGCGTCATTCTGTCAAGGATGCGTGGGGGAGGCAGGACTCAGACTTCTCGGAAAACAAAAGACTTTAATAGTCAAAAGGCAAAATCAAAAGGCCAAGGGGCAAAAACACACGAAGCAGGGGGGAAAAACAGCAGGCCGGAAACTACGGACATCCACGACAAAAGACAATGACGCGACAAGTGACACAAGAGACACACGGCTTAAATACACAAGGGAGGTGCAGGTGATTGGACACAGGTGGAAACTATTAGACGATCACAGGGGATGACGGGACAAGGCAGGAAGTGAAGTTACCCGGGGACACGAGTGTCAGAAAACTACAAAATACAACAGTTCACTTCCTGTTGTATTCTGTTGTCACACTGTGACAGTCGGTTTAAATGTTTGTCAGTTATAATAGTGACTTACTTTCTTTTCCACTTCTTAGGAGAATTAAAATGAGCATTCAGGGACAGGACCAGGTGGAGAAGAAGTACGACCCACATGACGCCACCCTGAAGTTTGTAAAGAGGAAGAATGACTTAGATCCAACATGTGACGATGACGATCTCAAGGCGGAGATGTCCTGCGGCCATGCTGTCACTCCTGACTCTCTAACTATGTGGTGTCGCAGCAAACTGGACGAGGTATCTCATATTTTCAAAGCATTTTATATACATATATATATCTTTATTCAAATGGAAACAATGTGATCCAACTGGCATGGAGACAGTAGGTATGTTCAGTTGATAGCACCTTGCTTGTTTTGCAAAAGTCAGACTGCAGCATAATACTATTATCCTACAAGAAACTGCATAGAACATGTTTACTGTTTCTTCACTTAAGCACAAATTGGCCAAAGTACACTGAGCAAAAATTGAACAAGCATAATTGGCTGTAAATGAATGATTAACACTGATTTTCTTTTTTGGTTCATTTAGATATTAGGAGTTTATCATTGCGGCTGACATTCCTTCATTTCCCTATCCACATGACATTTTGTGTCTTGTGAAATCCTTAACTGCCTCGTCTTCTCTTTGTTGCCTCAAGGGTATTTATAAATTCAAATGCCCTGCACTGGTGGAGGGGAACAAACTGTGCAATAAACTGTTGTCGTACCAAGAGGTGCGCAGACTGGCTGATTTGTCTATTGAGGAAATGCAGCACTTTGAACAGACTATAGCTCGCCTGGCTGCTGCAGAATACTGTGAAATTCAGACTGTAAGTGATCCAGTGGAATATTTTTATTTAGATATTCAAAATGACCTAAAGTGCACTGATTTTTATAAATCTTTCTATCAAACAATCAGTGCCCATGGTGTAAAACGAGTGTGGAGAGAACGGATCTCTCCAACCTGTGTGTCCAGTGCACCGTCTGCACGGCCGACCGGAAGAAGGCCCGGCACTTCTGCTGGCAGTGTCGGAGGGAGTGGAAAGGGTCGGGCCCTCGATCGGACCGCTGCGACAACGCCGACTGCATCAACGGCAACGTCCAGCTTCTGCAGACCTGCGCGACCATCAGTCTGCCAGACGTGAAGGGGGTCAGCAGCTGCCCCTGCGTCCGAGTCTGTCCCACATGCGGCATGAAGGTGGAACATAACCGGCAACACTGCAAAAATATCAACTGCCCTCGCTGCCACGTTGAGTTTTGTTTCGTCTGCCTTAAACTAAAGCAAGAATGTCTCAAGACCAGTTCCCCATACACGATCTGTTCGAGTGGTGTGGCTCCTAGACAGACCTCTATCCCCGTGTGGGAAAAGAAATGAAAAAGAAATGGATGAACAATTTTAACAATTTGAGTTGAATAGAACCAGCTTATTATGTATACACAAAATTTGACAAATACTCAAGCTATAACAAAATAAATTCAACATGTCTACTCTACCTCCTCCTGAATGAACGTGGCAATGATGTTTTATTGCCCTGGGAATGTCAATCACTTTGAAGCTATAACAAGAGCAAATTATACAGTTACAACGCTTGAAATGAAAACCGTTAGATTTTAGAATGCATTTAGAAACATTATGTAATAGTAAAAATATAATGATGCCATAATGTTTTATTAATGTCTAAAGCTAATCATGCCTTTAATTCTGAGGAAGTTCCACCACACCAGCTGTGCAGGAACTACCTGAGCAGAAGAATCTTCTCTTTGATCCCATTTGTCTTTGCATAACATAGCTGCGTGGCGGTAGGAGAAGGTGTGAATGTCTCCAGCCCTAGTCCTAAATTTAATCAGACATGTGTTGTAAGCACCTTGAGTTTTCCGTCGAGTCTGGGACCTCTTTGCCTGTCTCCAACTTAGCATAACAAAACCAAGGTGTTAACCCTGTCAATGTATAAATATATCTATGTTGCTCTCAAACATTAAGAAATTTCTTCTTGCTAGCAACCAATAAAGGGAAAATACATCTTGATTCACAAGAGACTTTATAACGATGCATGAGAAAATGATTCCCAATTGCATGAGAAAATCTTCCACAACAATTATTAGTCACAGAGAAAAAATCAGGATATTCTGAAAATGAAAGCCCTTCAAATCTCCTTTGTGAGCCGACTATAATACACATGCACATTTATGCTTAGTCATACATCTAGAATATGGCTTTTTTTCATTTCTATTTCACTTAATTTGCTTTTTTTTTAGTTTAAAGGTGGTTGTGGTTTTGAATTTCTACGTGTCAACAGGCACATTTCCAAAATTTGTAATTGTTAATTTCCAAATTTTCCAAATTTTTAAATTTCAAAACAGAATCCCATCCAATTACATTATAATACATCTGCATGACCTCAGTCAGAATGGATTCATTTAACAGAGAGCAGTCTCACTGGATGTAAAAATGCAATCCAAACATAAAGTGTATCAACTCAAAAAGGCAAGGTAAGTGTCAGAGGTTAACAGGTTTACTGGTGACTTTTAATAGAAAAGGCAATAGAAAATAATACACATTTAGTTCAATTTGAACACTCCAGATCATTTTTACAAGTATAGTTTACAAACAGTTTATTAAATGCCCCACCAGAGAGAACACGCTGGATCACTGTTACACAACAGTAAGCAGGGCTTATCACGCCGTCCCTTGTGCTGCACTGGGACACTCTGACCACGTCATTGTCCATCTGATTCCTGCATACAGGCAGAAACTAAAGCTCTGCAAACCTGTGGTGAGGGAATTCAAGAAGTGGACCAGCGAGGCGCTGGAGGATCTTCGGGCGTGCTTTGACTGCACAGACTGGGATGTTTTCAGGACTGCTACTAACAGTCTGGATGAGTTCACAGAGGCTCTGACTTCTTACGTTAGCTTCTGTGAGGACAGCTGTGTACCATCATGCACCGGGGTGAGTTTCAACAACGACAAACCCTGGTTCACAGCGGAACCCAGAAAACTGCGTCTCCATAAGGAGCAGACAAAGACCTGTATACAGAGTTAAAAGAGCAAAAAGAAGCACGTACTGGGTCAAATGCAGTTCAACAGGAACCATCTGTTCCCCATTCTAAGAATAACACGTCCATACTAGAACTACGCCTACCACTTATATGCAAATCATCTTGCACCCCCCCACCAGCAACGACCATCTCTGTTCTATAGAGAGACGTTAACCGGCTCTTTAAAAGACAAAACCCCCGTAAAGCAGCCGGCCCGGACTCCGTCTCTCCTCGCACCCTGAAGCATTGTGCTGAAAAGCTGTCTCCAGTTTTCACTGACATCTTCAACACCTCCTTCCACACAAGGCTGTGTTATTCTCCCTGTACACCAACAGCTGCACCTCCAGTCACCAGTCCGTCAAGCTCCTAAAGTTAGCCAATGACACCACCCTCACTGGACTGATCTCTGGTGGTGATGAGTCCGCCTACCATTGGGAGTCTGACCATCTGGTGTCGTGATGCAGCCAGAACAACCTGGAGCAACCCAGTCCCTAGGTGACTCCCCCGTCACCACTGTGGATTCCTTCTGTTTCCTGGGCTCCATCATCACCCAGGACCTTAAGTGGGAGCTGAATATCAGCCTTCTAGACCTGTCTGCTGTATTGATGCAGCTTGACTGGTGAGACATAACATCTTCTCAAAGTACTCAGCAGCATCACGTTGTTCGTACACTGAGGAGGAAGAGCAGAAATCAATGTGAGTTTCTTCAACAAAATAAAGGTTCATGTTGCCAAGAAGACTTTGTGTCAATATTAAAATATTTAAAGGGGTCTGTGGGAATTAAATAAACAGCTGATATTATTTTCTGTCACTACTGTGCTTCATGTGAACTTCATGTCATCTGTTGTTCTGACATACTGTACCGTTATCGATGCCCAGCTTCTTCGTGATGTTGTAGGTGTAAGCCTCATGTTGTTGTAAGTCATCAAACAAGGATGTAAGTTGATCAATAAACTCATTCGCTGGGTTGTCACAGACGTGTCTGTATAAAATAAAGACACAGTGGGGTAAATACATCAGAGACTGCAGCTTCAATGGGTTTAAATGAATTACATGAAGGAAAGTTGGAGTTTGGAGAAAAACCTTTTCACAGCTTCTCTGAAGTCTTCGGTCATGTTCAGGTAACATGTTGCCCCTTCGTTCTTCAAGCCGTGGTACTTTGTAGCTGCCGGGAGCAGATTGTTAACAGTGAAGCTAAATTGTTTAACTGTCTTCACTCCGTTATAGAGATCAGTTCATCTTACCTTGATAGGACGGCATTTTTTAGAAAAGCTGTCGATCTTAGTCCCACTGATCCATTTTGAATCCTGTTTCTCAGTCCGCTGCTTCACCGTCAGCTACAAAGCAACTCGTAATTACTTACTGGCAATGAATCAATCACAACTCACGACTCAGTCTCTCGGTCTCCTGTAAAACCCTCAGAGTACTTTCTCTTTCACTAGTACATAAACCCTACAGCAATGAATTAATCTGCACGTAGTAAACCACTGTTGAGAACACACTTCTATTGGCCCCAGGTTATTATTATCATTATTTGCATCAATCAATTAACGTTTCTTGTAATGTTACCCTGCTATAGGTTTGCATCACAGATACAAACTTTTCCATTACTTACTTACCTTCTTACTGTGAAAATGTACATAATTCCGGTTTAGCTGCTGCGCTTCGCATTTTCGTTTTGTAGGCAAAAACTTAAAGAGGGATTTGTGAAAATAAAAGTTGGTTGTTCTGTGTTTTTTGGTACAAAAAACAAAAATGGGAAAATGGCCAGCCATTTCAGTTTTTGGTTTAAAACAAAAAAAGAGAAAACAATAATGTATTTTTACTTTATATTTATTATTTTTTATCATTTAAACGGTAACAAGCTATCAAAAGGTCCACAGACCCATTGAGCTTATCTCTTGATCACGAGTGTCTGAAAAAGCAGTATTTCTATCTTAAAGATATATTTCCTGGTCCAAATTATTCTTTAAACGTGTACATGATATGAACTTTTGATAGCAAGGGGAGGATAACAAATAATCCTGAACACAGACTTTCAGAGTAGGTGATCATACTAGCCCCTAGTTAATTCATAACATTTTCTTAAAATTGTTGTTGTTATTTTAATTTAACGTCGTTCCTAAAATATAATTCCCTTTTATGTCACGAACGGGGTCGGCAGAGGCAGGACACAGAGTTCCAAAGAAAAGGCTTTAATAGTAAAAATGCAAACTTGCCAAGGGGAACGGAACCAGGAACAGCCAAGACATTCAGGAATACGAACGACATTCAGGACAAAGAACAAATGACACACAGGGCTTAAATACACTGGGAGGTGCAGGTGAGTGGACACAGGAAGAAACAATCAGAGACACAGCAGACAATCGCAGGAACACATAGGAAGTGAAGTTACCCAGGGACACAGGAGGCATAAAACTAAACACAAAAACAAACCCAACCTGTGACACTTTTCTCCATTAAAATAGAAAATGTCTTTTGTGATTTCAGAAACTTGTTTACTGGCAAAACAGGATAATTTCTTCTGCTATCATGATCTGACCTTTCACAAAGAAACAGTGTGTCAAAGCATACTTTTTAGAAGGACTTTTATTTTAAATTTACCGTATTTTCCGCTCTATAAGGCGCACTTAAAAGCCTTTAATTTTCTCAAAAAACGACAGTGCGTCTTATAATCCGGAGCGTCTTGTATATGATCAATTGGTTGATCCACACTGGTTGTACACGGCACTCAAGGCGCTCTGTCAAAATGTTTCAGTATGAAAAACCAATAACAATAAATATGTTTCGGTACGACTGGTAAACTACAAAGCCGCACCGCTTGCAGCATTACGGTAACCACCGATACTGTGCTTACTTACAGCTAGGGTGACCAGACGTCCTCTTTTCCCCGGGCATGTCCTCTTTTTGAGATCTAAAAAATGCGTCCAGCAGGGATTCCAAAAACGTCCGGGATTTTGCTTTGTCGGATATTTGTGTTTCTCTGGGTCTTTCACAAACTAGTAATTCCGCCTAGCATTTCTAGTAATTGTTAGAAATGGTGTCTCCTTTCTAGTGATGTGTTGTTCATGAAAGATTTGTTCATTTTGAACGAATCCTTACATGGACTCGAGAGTAACAAGTCCTCTCAAAAAAAAGATATGTTCATTTTACTGAACCGAGTCGGTAAAACGGTCGGTAAAAAGATCCGAACTTCCCATCACTACTCCCTTGTTCCACCTTCTTGCGCGAGCTCTGACTGTAGAGAGAACAGTCATTGGTCGACGGATCTCAATGTTGCCAGATACACGATAAATATCCTCCAAATACAACCATTTTAAGCCTTTGGTACGATAGGTGCTCAGTGTTGCTGGAAATGGTGAACATTTCACGGACGTTTTTGGAATCCCTGCCGGACGCATTTTTTAGGTCTCAAAAAGAGGACATGTCCGGGGAAAAGAGGACGTCTGGTCACCCTAACTGTAAGTGAGCACAGTATTGGTGGTTACTGACTACGGTAGCCGTAATGCTGCAAGCGGTGCGGCTATGGCTAGAGGACATGTCCGGGGAAAAGAGGACATCTGGTCACCCTAGCATAACGCAAACCCAGGTAAAATGTTTGACTGCAGTATTTTATGCGTTTTATAATCCGGTGCGCCCGATTTATGAAAAATGTTCTAAAATAGGTCATCCATTGAAGGTGCGCCTTTTAATCCGGTGCGCCGTATAGTGCGGAAAATACGGTACCCATATTCATTTTAAATCCAACAAAGTCCAACAAATGACACAAATGATCAAAATAGTTTGATTCAAAGTAACAAACATCAATCTAAAGCATCTATGACGTGAATCTGAGGGCAGTGGAATAATACTTTAATTGTCAGGCTGAATTACATAAAAGTAGCACTTGACAGTTAAATAAGTAAACCAAAAAATATCCCATGCAAACACTTCCATTTGACTTTTTTTGAGATTCAACTTAGATTACTGTTGTCTACATGTTGCATTCAGTGACATGTGTATATCTCAACAACTTAACAGAAAGATTTAAAAAATAATATGTAAAAGGTTAATAGCATAGTAACAAACAATAATGAAAAGTTTGATCTTTCAATCTTTAAATGTCATCTTGTTTTTCCTTAAATTTAAATATTTTTAATATTTAAAATAAACATTGCTTTCTATTTCCGATTGATGCAATGTGAACAAGAACCAAAAACAACCAGCGCCGATCAGTTAAATACATTGAACGAGACTGAACTTCCTTTTGATCTCACTCTGTCTGGTCTGCAGTTTTCCAACTTTCCAACAAATCCTTTTGCGTTTCTTTTCTGTTTTTCTTCAGCGGGGAAGAGCGACGCCTCAGTCTTCTCTTCTCACCTTTGTCTTTCACAGCATGTTTTTTCCCAACATGTTCTTGTGCATTAGACACATTTTGCTTTTTTTTGGCATTTTAATTAATTTTTCTCTCTCTAATTCTTTTTCTTGTGTCTTCGCGTTTCTGTGACGCCGTCAAACGCGAGACATTCAGTTGTAAATGGCAAAGCTTCTGGCAATGTGACCGTTGCATCTGTCTTTGGATCAGATTTGATTTCGGCATTTCCTACATTATATTCTACTGAACTCGTAATGCCTTGAGAGCTTCCTTCTATAGTTGTTATTCGTATGTTTGTTATTACAGTGATCTTTTGAACACCATTCATGGTTTCTTCCTCAATTATCTTTCCATGATATGTTTTTGACTTCTTTGAATTATGTGTTCCTTCCACAGCATCCTCACTAAATCCAGTTCTCACTTCAGATGGTTGAGACTTTTTGACACGGCCATCTCCTCTGTTGTCCGCCACGCTGCTACTTCCTGTTCTCCTAAGAGAAGAGTCTGCTCCCTCAACATGTTCATTGTCTCCTTTAGCTCTCTTTACTGCTTTCTGTGATGTACAACGCTCTGAACTTCCATTCTGATCCTGTTCTCGTCTGTCTGATGCTCTCTTCCTTTGTACATGCTCATCAACTCTTCTCTTTTGTTGCTGTTTATGCTGTTGATCTTTTGGCTTGTTTTGTTTACTCTTACCAGCTTGGTTGCATTGAATGCTATCATTGCTGAGGTCATATTTTGTCAATAGCTTTCCTCCCTCTGCCTTCCTTTCTTCTTCTTCTTCTGTTTTAATCCTCTCCACAATTTCCTGTTTAACAGGTTGGACGTCGTCTTGACTCACTGCATGTTTCCCTTCCTGATCTTCATACATGTTTTGTCTTTCATGAACAAATCTTTCATCGTCCCGAGGCTCTGCATACCCGTGTGGGTACTTTGTTTTTGCTTCTTTGTCGCCCTGCAGAACCTCCTGTGGTCTCCTGTGTTTAACATCATCTTTTCTGATATTGCTATCACACGGATCATTGATATTTTCTCCAAGTGGAGTTTTTCCAACAGCAACTATGCCTTTAATTCCTGCTTCTTCATTTGTTTGTGTGGAACAAGCTGCTGGAGGTTCATTACCTGCCTTTGCTGCCCCCTCAACCTCCTGGCTTCTCTTTACAGCATCTTTACACTGGACATTGTGAGTATCATCGGCAGCAGGCGGGACGCCTCTAGCAGGAGACGTCTCTCTGATATTCTGAGTACAAGTATCAGCAGCTTCCACTGGAAAACAGATAGAAAAGAAATTAAGCCAAAGTACCAAGTAATGTCAACACTGCACATCAATAACAGAGTGAAAATGTCTGCATCTCACCTTTCTTCATCCTGTAGAAAAGCAGATAAGCGTGGGTGGATCTAGAGGGAGAAATGTGCAAAAGAGAGAAAAGGTCATTTTCAAATACAGGTTAACCTGCAGCAACATAATCAGTGGAGGTGATGTGTGGGTGCTTTAAAGATTGGGAATGGGACGGAAATTTATACATTCATAGTTAATGAAGAAATAATGAAACTTACGTCTTAAAGTTATCCACCTGAAAGGGCTGGTAGTCCATCTTTAGATGGAAAATAATAAAGAGACATAACATGATGAATCATCACTGCACTACTGTCAACAGAATGTGTATTTGTCAACAACGCACCAAGTGATCAGTCTTACCAATGAGACCCTTGTATCATCAAAGTGGTACCATTTCTCATCGTCCTGCGGTCTGATTGTTGCAGTGTAATGTCCACCTCTCAGATCTCCAACATGATCCACAACCGCGTACAGTTCATACGTCTGATTCTGATCACCAGCAGAAGACATGACAGGTGTCATTGTCAGGAAAGAAGAATAAACGTTTCACAATAAAATAGTAAATTATGCCTCACCTCTGGTATCTGAAGGGTGAAGGGAACTTTCACAGTTTGGTTGATTTTGACATACGTCATGTACTGGTAGTCAAACTCAAACCTCTTCAGCAGCAGCATCAAGACCTCTGGATGATGCTTTATTTCACATGTCTGAAAGATACGGATCCACAACACTTGTTACCATCATAAAACTGCTATGACCTAATAAACTGCTAATACTAAGAGCCCATGTATGCAAATCAGAAACACGCTTCCTCATTACTCACAATAGTTGCATCAGATTTCTCCTCACACTTGTCGCAGTACAGCTGGTCTTTTCCGCTGAAATGTGAAGCTCTGAAATACTTCTCAATGTCGTCCTCCTGATAAGAAGCAACCCGTGTTATTAGCATGTAAACTAGAGGAAGAATTCATGCACAAGACCAAATGAACGTAAAAATTTCACGTAAAATTACACAGAGAATAAATATAAATTCATCTACGCATTCACAAATATTTATTCTGATTAAGAAAATAATTTGACGTTTTTTATCATCAATGTAAAACCACATAACTTTGTAGTTGTCAGGTCTTGATGTTCCTTACCACGCTGTGGTCTCTGCTGTTGAAATCACCCAAAGCAAGAGGAAGATGCCAGAATGCCTCGGACCTGTCAGTCTCATTATGACACGTAGAACATTTGGTCTTTTGTGTCGACTCTCCGTGAAAGATCTGAAAGCACACAACTGGTAAACAAAGGATTTCTTCTCTTGAGGTACAGAATCCTTTTGATATTGATGATGTCGTCTTTACCTGTGATGCAGCTTCACTGGTCAGACGTAAAATCTTCTCAAAGTACTCAGCAGCATCACGTTGTTCGTACACTGAGGAGGAAATGAGTGTGAGTTTCTTCAACAAAATAAAGGTTCATGTTGCCAAGAAGACTTTGTGTCAATATTAAAATAATTAAAGGGGTCTGTGGGGATTAAATGAACAGCTGATATTATTTTCTGTCACTACTGTGCTTCATGTGAACTTCATGTCATCTGTTGTTCTGACATACTGTACCGTTATCGATGCCCAGCTTCTTCGTGATGTTGTAGGTGTAAGCCTCATGTTGTTGTAAGTCATCAAACAAGGATGTAAGTTGATCAATAAACTCATTCGCTTGGTTGTCACAGACGTGTCTGTATAAAATAAAGACACAGTGGGGTAAATACATCAGAGACTGCAGCTTCAATGTGTTTAAATGATTTACATGAAGGAAAGTTGGAGTTTGGTGAAAAACCTTTTCACAGCTTCTCTGAAGTTTTTGGTCATGAAAAGCACCTGCAGGACGCTGTTCAGGTAACATGTTGCCCCTTCGTTCTTCAAGCCGTGGTACTTTGTAGCTGCCGGGAGCAGATTGTTAACAGTGAAGCTCAATTGTTTAACTGTCTTCACTCCGTTATAGAGATCAGTTCATCTTACCTTGATAGGACGGCATTTTGTAGAAAAGATGTCGATCTTAGTCCCACTGATCCATTTTGAATCCTGTCGATCGGGTTTCTCAGTCCGCTGCTTCACCGTCAGCTACAAAGCAACTCGTAATTACTTACTGGCAATGAATCAATCACAACTCACGACTCAGAATCACTGTGAGCTCACATTTAGTTTACAAATTCTTTCAAGTCAAACCCGGTTGTTGTTCCGATGTTTTGTTCATTGACACCAACACACAGTCTCTCTGTCTCCTGTAAAACCCTCAGAGTACTTTCTCTTTCACTTTAATAGAAACCCCTCTGCAATGGTGCATTCAGGGTGTGTCGGGAATTATTTTTCTAACATACACTTCCTATGATTCTATTACAATAATATGGATCAAAAGTCTCTTTGCGCAAAATAATGTAAAATGCAAGGTACGATACAGATTGTCTTCTGTCTGCTTTACTGGAGGACTTGAATTTGCAGCTGTCTGATGTTTATTTGGCATTTTTGGATCATCTACTTAACCATAAAAATCTGTTCATTACATGATACCTGACGGAGTGTAGTGAATTGTAATTTTTGTAAAATGTATTTGAATCCCGTCACAACGATTGGAAGCTTACTATAAACGTTGTATTGTATTATCTATCTTTGTTATTTAAAATGAAACTGATAAGACATTTTAATGATATTATTATATTAATGGGATTATCTATGTATTCATGTTCTCTTATTCTGCTGTAGAATCCTTGCTTGGTCCCATCATGGACCCTGTTCGTCATCAGACTTTCTGTCTCCGAGATCGTGTTGATGTGGATTCAGTGTCGCTTTATTATCTGATCACTTCATCAAAGACAAGACTTAAGACCCGAACCTTTCTTTATTTTGTGGAAGAGCAGCAGTTGGCTTTTATAAACATGGCAATAGTCAAATAAGCATTTTAATAAAACAGAAATTCTTGTAATATGTGCAAACAGCAGCAGGGGGAGTTGGTCCCGGTCAAGCGATCAGTCCTCCAGGAACCCTCATCACCATTTGGATGATGGACTGTTGCTGGATGCCAAAATCAGAAAGCAGCAGCTCGTTTCCATCCAGCATCTTGTCCGCGAAGATCAGCCGCAGAGCCTCCAATCCTACACACACACACACACACACACACACACACACACACACACACACACACGTTTATAGGTAAACTTAATTCTTGACCTTATAACTATCTACAAGGAATCTGTTTCTTCTTCCATTACAAAACTCTGATGGGTGATATTGCAGGTCTTAACCTCTGATTCAAGTATTTCAACAGAAACCTCAACAAACCTGTATACCAGAGCATGTGTCTTGTTATGCATTTTCTCATTGTCAAAGTGATGTACCATGCACCGTGTCAAATTCCTTGTATGTCTAACATACTTGGGCAATACATGTACCTGATTCCTGATTATCAAATACTCAGTGTGAACGATTTAGCTAAGCACTAAAATATTGTACTTAAATACAACATTGAGGTATTTTGAGTGTTTATGGTGTTACTTTATCCCAATTCGTAGTGTACTTCTTTGGTTACCCCAACTAACAACAGCCAGTATAGTCTATAGGTGCTCATTTAAAAAAGAAATTGAACTATTCTGCTCATATGTACGTGTATAATAATACATTTACTTTTCTTACAGGTACTTAAACAGGTACTTTTTCTTACAGGCTACATTTGCTGTCAATCATTTTAGTCCAGCACAATGTTGAATGCTATCAAGTGTTTGCCTTCTAGGATAAAGTAAAATACAAATGGAAGCCAGACAAAATGGAAGTCAGGTGGTGAAAATTTTAATTACCAGCGGTTTCAGGAAGTCTCTCTGCGATCTTTTCCTTCAGCTGCAGCACCGTCATTTTCTTAAACTGCTCATCCGTGTTGCACAGGTCGACCACCATCTTCTCCCCCCTCAGCCCGTAAACAACTACCTGGTAGATCTTTCCCATTTCTGTGCTGTCTGTGGGGGTTTTGTGCCTAAGTTGGTCTGCGTCTTTCTGCTGCGCCGCTCGGAAAGAATGAGACTCCAGGGCGGTGACCAGAAACCTCTGACTTAAGATGATACTTTCACTTTTGTCTCAACGGTGCAAAATACAACACACAAGTAGACGACTTGTAAAAACAATCAGAATATGTGGCACCGCCAGAGATGAAGGGTTAGTGATGATCATGACCAGTGGTGTAGTATTTATTTATTATATAGTATATCTATATGTCCTTGATATATTATATAGTTTATAGTATATATTTTTGCAGTGAGTATACTCTGATTTTGCACTCCCAGCGTCTGTCCCAGAGCGGGGGGGCGTTTTTTTAATCGATGCCACGCGATCGACTGAACGTTCTGTCACAACGATGTTGTTTCGCATCATCGCGTTTTTGTTGGTGGGTTTACGGAAATCATTGACTTTTCCCAGTGGGTATACGGCGTATCACGTAGACGACACCACTGACGTATTCTTCAGTTTCATCTGGTCAGGTGTTGTTGTCGTGTAACAGGTTGTGACTTTTGAACTCATAGAACTGCTACTTTGTAGTATTGCGCATGCGCCGAGTCGATTTTCCAAGTTCCCTTGACACGCCCATAATATTTTGCAACCCTGTCGGTGAACGACGTGTTAACGGTGATTAACATCCTCAAAATGCCGATTATTTCCTCTTTTGGCCAAATTGGCCATGTACGTTTATTTAAATAATTCCTGTTTTTTCAGCTCAACGCAAACCTCTGCGAGATGCTGGGCATAGAGAGATGATAGATAGATAGATAGATAGATAGATAGATAGATAGATACTTTATTGATCCCTCAAGAGGGGAATTTTGTTATCACAGCAGCATGTACAGGGAAGAATAGAATAAAAAGATACACATTATATACAACATAATAAGATAAAAAATATTACATTATTAAATAAAATAAAGTAAACTAAACGGAAACAAAAGAATAACCTTCAAAAGAGAAAATAATAATAATTTTTAAAAGGAGAAGAGGAAGAGGAAAAAGCAGCAACATCACAGCAGTACAGGGTTGTTATTGTCATTATTTGGCCAGGGATGATTTATTGTAAAGTGTTACACCAAGAAGACCAAAGAGCTAATTGTGGACTTCCGAAAGAAAACTGGCACACACATCCCCATCCATATCAACGGGACGGAGGTTGAGCGTGTCGCCAGCTTCAAGTTCCTGGGTGTCCACATCTCTGAGGACCTCTCTTGGACCCTCAACACCTCATCCCTGGTAAAGAAAGCACACCAGCGTCTCTTCTTCCTGAGGAGACTGAAGAAGGCCCATCTGTCTCCTCAGATTCTAGAGAATTTCTACCGCTGTACCATAGAGAGCCTCCTTACAAACTGCATCTCAGTATGAAATGGCAGCTGCTCTGTCGCGGACCGTAAATCACTGCAGAGGGTGGTGAAAACTGCCCAACGCATCACCGGTTCCTCACTCCCCACCATTGAGGCTGTCCAGAGCAAGAGATGTCTGCGGAGGGCACGCGGCTCTCACCCCAGCCACAGACTGTTTGCCCTCCTCCCCTCTGGGAGGCGCTACAGGGTGCTCCGTTCCCGGACCAGCAGGTTCAGGAACAGCTTCATCCCTGCGGCTGTCATTCTACTGAACTCTGCCCCCCACCCCCACACACATCTCCCTCAGTGACTGTACTTCCACCCTGGCTTGACTGCCACACACCTTCCTCCAGCCACTGAACATTTGCACTGTTATTGTATATCCATTTCTTACTGTTCATATTGCACAACTATTTCTTTCTGTACATATCTATTTATTCACTTATTACACTTTACATATGCACATACTCTCCACTTTTTGCTATTTTGCACTTCTGGTTGGAGGTTAAACTGCATTTCGTTGCCTCAGTACTTGTACCCTGTGCAATGACAAAAGAGTTGAATGTAATCTAATCTATCTAATTATTTCACTGGGCAGGAATGATCTCCTGTATCGTCCTTGTGACAGTGGAGCTGAAGGAGTCTGTTGGAGAACGTGCTCCGCTGTCCCTGTAGCAGGTGGTGGAGGGGGTGGTCAGGATTATCCAATATGGATGACAGTTTCTTCAGTGACCTCCCCTCCAACACCTTTTCCAAGCTGTCCTGTTTGCAGCCAATGAGGAGTGTAACAACGGCCTATCATCCACAAACAAATGGCCCGCATGAGAAAACCAATCACAACATCAAACGCCAAGTTTACTTATCAGGTTTTTGTAAAGCTCAGAGCTTTTTTGTGAATGTAAATGAACAATTGTTCTCAATTAACTTGCCTGTTTAAATACAGGTTAAAAAAAAAAGCTGTTTGTACTTTGCACTGCTTTTGTATGCAGTTCATGATCGGTGTGATACATGTGGCACTAAATTGTTGGTTTATCTTGCTTCATTTCACATCTTAGAGCCCTTGCCAAGCTTGTAAATGAAAGGCAGGACAACTAGGATGTCTTCTTGGAGGCAACATTGTTTTCATTAAGATCCAAAGTCCATGCAACAACAAAACACACACCGTTTATGTGGATGTATGGACGAGAGCCAGTTTTCCCCGCCCAGGTTCCCATTGACCTGCCGGTAAGTTTGTTTCTTTGAGTTTCTTTTTTAAACTCTGACACCCGTAATATGCTGCCATTAATACTTCTGAGAGTATAGATTATTATGCCTTTTATTGTACACAGAGCTAAAAACCTTAAAGTAGCGTTGCATTTTTTTTAGTTTGGTTCAAATTGATAGACCTATTTGTTTATGCAGTGGCAGCAATTTTCGACAAAGGCTCTGTCATGTATAAAATGTGATGAATATGCTGCCATTCATCCGTAGAGTTGAGGTGATTAGCAGTCTTACATGAATGCATTGAGTAGCGGGAGCAATATTTGATAGGGTGTTATTGTGCTAAAATCTGCTACCCCTGATATAAATACATTTTATTACAGTTTTATAATTAGATACATGAGAGAGAAAAAAACACTTACTTTATGCCTTTATTTGATGTACAGAGGTAGAAGGCCATAAAGTAGCATTTTTTGATAGGGCATGAATCGATAGACAGCCATCGATTTATGCGGCGGTAGCAATTCTTGACAAAGCAGCAAAAAACGACAGAACACCACCAGCGTCCGTATAAAGATAAGGCCTCACCACATTTAGGCCAAAGGAGAGTTCGTCTGCACTGTAAAAGCTGGAGCATTCTATACCCTAAAATACAACATTTGAATGAAGTTCTTATTCAGTTTCGCTCGCTGGTGTTGATAGCTGGCAATAACCTGATATTCCAGCATAACGGGAGCCGCCAGCCTGCATTCACGTGACTTCTTGTAAGAGTCAAATGGGGGGAAAGTGAAAGAGGAAACGACAGAAACAAATCTTCGGTGGAGTCGGTGAATGTGACACTCAGCCTCTCACTGCGCGTCGAGGGCTCAACGACAGAAGCAGTCCGTCGACGGTGAGCTAAAACCAAAATGACGACTCAGGAGGAGAAAAGATACGACCCCAAAGACACCACTCTGAAGTTCGTCAACAGACCAGATGACCTGGATCCACTACGTGAGTACAAAGAAAATAAAACTAGATGAATGCAATGTTATTGTCATTTTTATGCAACGTTTCCTTTTTCATGTTGTGTTGTGCCTGCGTTGGTTATATCAATTAAGTGAACTAAACGAATAGCACGTCGAGTGTTCTGCTTTGTTTATACTTAAACATGGACGCATCTGCCAGCCTTTATTAATCATATTTTTCTGGATGAGACTAATGGTGAGTTCAATGTCTGCTCTTGCTGCTGTGTTTCTCAGCTCCAGGGGAGGGAGACCAGTGTCTCCGGGCAGAGATGTCCTGCGGTCATGCCGTCACCCCAGAGTCTCTCACTGGCTGGTGCCGCAGTCTGCTGGATCAGGTATCTCTCCTCCACCTCATTAACAGAGCACTGAAGAGGAACTTTCACTCCGTGTCAGAGGAGTTTTCACTCAGTCTCCTAAGAATTAATTAATGTTCTTCTTCCACCATCTCACTGGAAATAAAACAGACCCAATTTTAACAGGTGCCATGTATCGTTTTTGACACATATTCCTTTTATAATAACAATAGCTTCCTCACATCATGCACGGTGTGTGTGCTCATTGTGTGACCTTTGTCCAGGCCAGATGTCATCAGTTCATTAGCCTGAATGACACCGTCCTCAGGTTGCATGCAAGGGGGGCTCCGACAGTTCAGACCACACCTTTAGCTGATAATTTAATGTCTTTTTCATTTCAGGGCCAGTACAAATTTAAGTGTCCTGCTTTGAAGGGAGGCACCTTGAAGTGTGATGCTGTGTGGTCTTATCGAGAGGTCCGCAGACTGGCAGTGCTGACACCCGAAGAGATGCAGCACTTTGAGGAGAACATGGCACGTCTGGCTGCAGCAGAGTACTGTGAATTTAAAACAGTGAGTATCCCGGTGTTGACTGATTTGCTGAGTTCAGCACACCTGATTTCAGTATTAAGAAATAAACAATAGAGATTTAACATTGCAATTGCTAATGTTTTACAGTCGCCGGTAGGCAGACTTTGTTTTAGTTGGCCAGAGCTACGCTATCTACTTCCAGTCTTTGTGCTAAGCTAAGCTAAAGGTGCACTTTCTCAAATTACAACAAAGCTAAAACATGAATTAAACTTTCCCATCACCGTGTCTCACATCCTTTCCAACAGTGTCCCGGGTGTAACACCTGTGTGGAGCGAGAGGACCCGAGTAACCTCAGCGTTCAGTGCACACTCTGCACAGCGGACAAGGGGAAACGTTACGAATTCTGCTGGCAGTGTCTGAAGACATGGAAGGGTCCAGCGCCTCGCTCCGACTGCTGCAACAACGACGGCTGCATCAACAACGACATCGAGCTCCTCAAGAACTGCAGGACCACCAACCTCCCTCAGGTGGACGGGGTTGATGCGTGTCCTTCTATCCGGGCCTGTCCCACCTGCGGCCAGAAGGTGGAGCACGACAAAACGGGCTGCAAGAACATCATCTGTCCTCGCTGCCAAGTCGAGTTCTGCTTCGTGTGCCTGAAGCTCACCCCCGAGTGCCTGAAGACGAGCTCCTACTTCATCCCCTGCAGTGATGGTGTAGCTCCCAGACAAACCTCCATACCTGTGTGGCGCAGAAACTAAGACCTCGTGCGCTCATAGTCACTGCTCATAATGTAGCTCACAGCATGATGTTATTTCCTGGCTGGATTTTATTCTAAGATTCTATTTCCAACTCAAGTCTAGAAATAGTTGATTTGTTAGATAATAGTGTGAGCATTAAACATATCTATTGTATTCCGTTGTAAAAGGCACAATTGTAACGCTTCCACTGAAAGTTAATAATGCCTGTTCATAGTTAATTATTGACAACTGCATCACTTAATAAAGTTTACCCTTTACAATACAGAGTGTCTATTCAATGTGAATACATCTCCTCTGTTGTACAAAATTTAGCTGAGTAGCTGAATAATAACTTGATCATCATCGCTCTACTACATCCACAACATATTTCTTTTTCCTTTTCACAAACACAATTTGCTCCAACATTAATACTTTGGGGATTAATAAAAGCAAAAAAGTTGATGGCAAGAAATCTGACCATGAAACCTTAATAAAAGAATACAAGCACTTTACTCAGAAAATAAGGCTGAATGGTAAAGAGGAAACGTTTGTGATGAAGAAGTCGTGTTTTAGGGATAAGGAGCCCAATTTGAACACTGTTTGTTATCCATATCCACATTACAGTAACTCATGATGCAACACATGTCTTAACAATTGAAACGTTTAAACAGAAATGCTCAATTTCTGCACACAGCAACTGCTGCATTATTTTCATAAATAAGCAATTCCCAAGTGTTCATCTGTATTTATTCTTCACCTCCATGGCTCTATTTTGATTTTGTCCTTATCTGCAGCCGTTCTTCTCGCTCTGGGACCCAGTGTTATTTCTATCCCAGTTTACCAGTTTGTGTGATGGCGAGTTCGCTTTGGACTGATTGATTTTAAGCACAGGTTTGGTGATAGCGACACACAACTTGTTCGACTTCAACATTGCCGACGCTTGTGGCCTGTCGGGAATGGAAGGAAAAGCTGAGCAGGTGGAGGAAACGTGAAGTGACTTCATGTCGTGGCTCTTCTTCAATAAATCACCATTCAAATCGTAGCTTTCATCCTGCAGAATAGATCAGGTACGACTGTCTGTCTTCTCTCCGTCTCGTTGTGTCTTCCTTTAGCTTCCACATCTTCATGTCTTCAGTGAGGCTGCTTGAGGCCTTTATCAGGTTTTTTAGTTGGTCTCTTGACTTTGAATGTAAAAAGGAGGTAAATAATATTAATAACTTTATTTATATAGAAACCTTCGTACAGAAAAACACAATCTTTCTCTCCTTTGCCTTAAGAACAGACTTCTGAGTCTGAGTTCTGAGACTTCAGAGACATGAATAGAAAAGCAGTTCAAAGGAACAATTAAAGGAAGCAAACGTACCCCTTCCTGTACATGAGAAGGTAAGCTGTAGGGGACCTCAGAAAGGTATTTCTAGTCCCAAACAGTGGTGGCATGACCTGTAGAATTGAAAACAACCACCGTGTAAATGTCAAACTTTGTCTTGTTGAACTGTGTGAAGAATTGTGAAACTGAGAAAAATGAGCCTCCTCACGCTGTTCACTCTGTCGTCATTGAAGTGGTACCACGTGTGCGTTTCAAAAGACTTGATATGAGCAGTGTAGTGACCTCCTGTCAGACTACCAAAGTGGTTAACTAAAGCGTAGAGGTCATATTTACAATGCTGAAGAGACGAAAATGAAAAAATATTTCAGAAGTCAAATATGTAAAACAATTTGCTGTTGAAAATGTTTTTAAAACAAACCTGTGTGTGTAAAGTCTGGGGAACTTCCACGTTGAGGTGAAGCTTCACGTAACACCTGAGCTTGTAGTCAAATTGGAATCTCTTCAGCAGAAGGGTCAAAATCTCTGGACTTTGTGTCATTTTACATCTCTAGACCACATAATAAAAACACAAAGAACAAAAAAAAACACTTCACACTTCAGTAGAACTAAAGAGTCAAGAATAAACCTTCTGAAGTGAGATGAATGGAGACGTATTCAACTTTACTTAAACTTTAAGTTCATATATTTATTGGGATCTACAAACAGTATATATATATATATATACACATACAGGCCTATGATAAATTACGAAAATGTTGCCATGCAAATTAAAAACGGGAAAACTTGAACTCAAAGAATACTCACAAATCTTGCACTTTGCTTTTCCTTGCACCGGTTGCAGTACACTTTGTTCTCCCTGCAGACCCTTTCTCCTTTGAAGAATCCCTCCAGCCCATTTTCCTGTAAACATTGTATGTTTTTTGATCCTGCCTGCATTTTCTTTTGTGCATTTCTGAAAAATAGATAACTATTATTCTCATTAAAAGAACAATTCTGTACCACACTGCAGGTTTGATGGGGCAAGTCTTCCACCGTCAGTGGGAGAAGCCAAAAAAAGCCCCTGGAGTCGTTTGTCTCATTGCACTTCAGGCATGTGGCGCTGTGAGTCAGCTCTCCCCTGAATATCTAGACACAAAAGGTTCAGCACTGGTTCAATGAGTGCTGAGTAGTCAGGTAGTTATGGGGACCATCGAAGGAATATGCCACTCAAATGTGATCATTATCAAATAATTTCCTCCTGTAGACTATAACACTTGAATCACTCCTGTAGTGCAATCCACATCTTTAGTTCTCTATAGCTGTGTATATTTATTCACATATGTGCAAAAGTATTGGTAGTTTTACTTTACTTCAATACATTTCAGAGGTAAACGTTTTACTGCACAAGTTCCTCTGACAGCTATACCCTGTAAAATAATCACAGTTTTTCACTGATCAAAATACCGGTCTTAATGTAAAAATAATGACAAACCACCCAATATTATATCAAATATATCATTAGATATAAAAATGATATTCTTTTCTTTCTTTACCTTGGATGCCTCTGGACTGGTCAAACACAGAATCTTCTCCAAGTACTCTGCTGCATCCCGTTGCTTGTATTCTTCAAGTAGGAGGGAGGACAAACTGATCATTAGTAGCATATATTCAGCCTCTGTGAGTCTGCAGGATTTTCACACACATCCAAACTTACTGTTTATGATGCCCAGTTCTTTTGTGAGGTTATTTGTTTTCGCTAAATGCTTCTGTAAATGAGCAAATATTATTCTCAGCTGTCGGTCAATGGTTGTTGAATCTTCACTGCGGCATCTGTGGCACAGGGAGAAGTATACATCACATTATTGGAACGAGTGAAGGTTATCCCAAAGTCATTTTTTTACGTATTTGTCTAACATACACTTCCGTAAATATGGATTATAAAGGATTATAAAAATATGGATTAATATAAAGATCTATAGATAGAAAAACAACCCAAGCTGAGGTTACCAACCGGTTCACAGCCTCCCGGAAGTCTTCGGTCATGAACAGCACCTGAAGAATGCTGTTCAAATAGCACGTCAGACCTGGATTTATCAGGCCATGATAATCTAAAGACACAACAACTATATTATCAAAAAGTCATTAAGACACATTGTTTTCATGTAACACCACTTACCTGAGATGGGGCAGTTGTCTAGTTTCTCTTTGAACCTTTCAACAAGGTAGTGATTCATAATGACGTCTTTTGAATGTTTTAAGATAACTGATGTTTTTTATTCCTGGTGTAAATGAGTCCACCTGCTGAAGCACATGAGATACAGCAGAAGTTAAGAGACAGCAAGCAGACACTATTGACCTTATTTATTTTCACATTACAAGACAGCAATGCAGTCACAACAACAACAAAAACCCTTTAAAAAGTGAAAACGGACAGAGAATAATATGGCAATGCTGGTGTCAACAAGTTGCGTGGGGAAAAAGGCAGGACTCAAACGCAGAGTTTTTCGGGAAACAAAAAAGGACTTTAATAGTCAAAAACTCAAAACTCCAAAAAGGAAAAAACGTGAACAGGGAATAGGAGACAGGAACAAGGACAAAGACACAGACCTGGGCTTCTGACACTCAACAATGACGCGACAAGGGACAAAAGACACACATGACTTGGCGATTGGACACAGGTGGAAACACCACTGGGTTGTACTTCCACTTCAGTAAAAAAACAAAACACGCACTACACAATAAAGAAGCGGAAAAATGTATAATCATTCAGAACAAACGTAACCGATGAACGCAGCTGGTGCGTTTGGGTGTCATGGAAACCGACGTAGCTCCGAACAGAAGTCAAAGAAGTGCGCAAAGACAAAGCTCGACTCACCTGAAAGCGTAAAACTCTCGAGGTCCCATCGCACGCGGTGGATATTTGCTTTAAGTAAGTCGTAAAACGGGAAGGAGAGACACGAGGATCCGCAGCACGCAGTCCTCCCCCTCGCATCTTCTTTCACTTTCGATTTCGAAATGAGCACCACCCTGAAGTTTGAACAGAGGAATGATTGGGATCCAATGTGTGACGATGACGGTCCTATAGCGCTGATGTCCTGCGGCCACATCACCTCTCCTGACTTTCTAAAAGAGTGGTGTCGCAGAAAGCTGGACGAGGTATCTCATGTTTTTCAAACACAATATTCCTAAATCATTTTTTTAAAACTCCAATTAAAGCAATGTGATCAAACTAACCATCGGCACGTTAGTAGCAGGTACCAGGATTGGTATCAAGAAGGCACAACTGGCACACGGCTTTTTCACGTCCCGTCACTGCGGGGTCGCTCAGCAGAATGAGGAAACGTCCCTCGCAACATTGCAGCCGTAAAATATTTTACCGCCGTAAAGCTAAATAGCGCTAAACCGCCCCCTGCTGGCTACAGGGGGAATGTACATTATATACAAACTTAAGGCATTTCAGTTCCTTATGCAAGTTCGTAAAAAATATAATGTGATGACAACAGCATAATACTATGTTTTAAAAGAAACTGCACAGAAAATGTTTACGGTTTCTTCAATTGAGCACAAAGTGGTACACAGTACATAGGAAAAATTGAACAGTCTTTAGACTTTTAAGGTACGATGTTAATCTTACCCTTCAGAGGAGCAGCTCTCTGGATGAAGACAAACAAAAGGTGTCCTGAGTGCACGAAGAGCTTGATGGTGAGGTCGACGAGGTGAATCAGCTCCAAAAGGCCTTTTTCACAGAGGACACTTTAACACGTCACATTAGAAAAAATATCAGGTATAAATGATTAAATAAGTGACGGCATTTCTTTCACACACTCACACACTGTGTGCGTCATGTATATTTTTGTTTATTGATGTCAGTTATTTTTGTAGCTGTGTGAGCTTTTAGGCAAAACAAAAATATTGTGCATCCCCCTGTACAGGTCAACCCCCGAATAACGTTTGATGACTGATCACAAGTTGTTAGACTGGGAAAGTGGTTAAATGGGACCTACCGTCATAACAAATTGAAACGTTTTCACATATACAATTATTTTTAAAGTTAGGCTAAAAACTAAAGCCCTTGTACAATCTGCAGAATGACACATTTGCAATGTTTCTTGATTATGGAATGTCATCAAGTCTATCAACATGGCATAAACTCATAATAAACATTATAGCAACTCATAATTTAACACATGACATATCAATTTAAATGTTCATAAGGTAATAATCCGCGGATAACACATGTGGGCAAGTATATTGTGCACGCGCCATTATGTGTGCAGGTTTTGACAATAATTAGATATCATATTAAATTATCCACTTTTTCTTGACATCAGACACTGGACACTGTATAAAGGAGATTTGGTTTCTGTCCACACCTGAATCACAGCAGTGTCACTTGTAACTGTTAAAAATGCAGCGCTGGTGTTTTTTTTTAATCCAGAGTAGACTTTGAAAAAAGAGCAAGCGATTCCATACTCTGGTTTTTGCCGCCCTTGTCACCCATTCCACCACAGGGACATGGGCAAGATCCTCCCCCCCTAAGCCTGTCCATCACGTGGATGACGGACATGTGCTGGATTCCAACGTGAGACAGCAGCTGGTGGTCTTCATCCAGCTGCAGTCTCACGAAGATCAGCCGCCGAGTCTGTACCAAACAGCGACACACACACACCTACACACGCGCGCACACACACACACACACACACACACACGCACACACACACACACACACACACAGGTTTAGGTAAACTTCATTCTTGACTTTATAACTATCCACTAGGAATCTGTTTCTTCCCCATCACAAAACCGTTAATATTGCAGGTCTCAATCTCTGATTCCAGTATTACAACAGAAACCTCAAAAACGTTTCTACCAGAACATTATCAAATCCTCAGCGTGAACAATGAGGACTAAAATATTGTACTTAATTACAACATTGAGGTATTTATAGCGTTGATGGTGCTACTTTATGCTTATTTGTAGTGTATTTGTATTAGTTAAATCAACTTACAATACCAGTCTGAGCTTATGTAAAACATTGCAATTCTGCTTGTGCAAAATAATACATTTACTTTTCATACAGGTATTTAAAGTCAGCTTTCAATCCTTTAAGCCCAGTACAATGTTTAATACTATCAAGTTTGTGCTTTCTTGGATGAAATAAAAATGAAAGCGTGTCAGGTGGCGAAAAGTTCAATTAGGGTTCAAGTGAAGACTCTCTGCGATCTTTTCCTTCAGCTGCAGCACCGTCATTTTCTTAAACTGCTCCTTCGTGTTGCACAGGTCGACCTCCATCCTCTTCCCGCTCATCCTGTCCACAACCACCTTGTAGATTGTTCCCATTTCTGTGCGGTTTCACTTTTGTCTTAACAGCGCAGAAAAATACCATGCAACACACAAGTAGAAGACTTGTAAAAACAACTGCATTGTATGTGCCAGAGATGAAGGATTACTCAATAAAGTCATAGAAACATTGAAATTCATGGTCTTTCTTCGTGTTTTATTTTCTTCAAGGTGTCACACAGAGAAAATCAGGATATTCCCAAAATGCAACTCTTCAAATCGTATTTGTGAGCTAACTTTAAATCCCATTCATACTCACATGGCATAAATCCAGATCGTGGCTTTATTTGCATTTCTCTTGCTTTGGTTTTTACTCTTTTTGTCCCTCGATTCCAAGGATGCAACCACATTTATGAATGAGCACGCGGATTTATCGTTTAATTAAAAAATAAATTAAGTTGAGAAGGAGTTTCGCAGTCAAAGTGAAAGATAGGATCACCCACATGAAGGCGTTGGTTGGATGGCCTGGGATCCAGAGAAATGGCCACAAGGTGGCGCCATACGAGTTTAAAAGGTGTGACTTTTACATTTCTCGAGACCTTAATCGCCAGATTCATGTCATCTTCCACACGGGGATATCTCTCTGCCTCGGTGCCACGCCGCTGTAGCAGCGTGCGTAATAGGACCCGTCCTTATCCGCGCACTCGCTGGTGCGCTTCAGGCACGCGAAACAGAACTCCACTTTACAGCGAAGGCAGACGACGTTTTTACATCGAGTTTTGTCGTGTCTCACCAGCAAGCCGCAGGTGGGACACGCGCGGATGGAGGGACAGCCGGTGACCCCTTGCACCACTTCGAATGTGATGTCAGGACAGCTCTCCAATATCTCCAGCGGGTCCTGGCAGTCGCCGTTTCCACAGTCTTTGGACGGGGCCGCAGCGTTCCACTCCCTCAGGCACCGCCAGCAGAACGTGAAGGTCCGTCGCTGCTTAGCGGTGCACACTTTGCATTCTACATTCTGGTCGCAGCGATCGGTTCTGGCCACTCGGGAGCTGCAACCAGGACACTGTTAAGAGAGACAAAAAGGGGAAATAAATAAGAGTTCTTAAACTGTCAAATGTTTCTTTCTAATGCACAAATAAGCCTCTTTCTTAAAAGAGCCGTTTGTAAACAGTGGAATTGAGGAACTTACACATTTGATGTCCAAGAAATTCGAGGCGACGTTTTGAAAGATTTTCTGATCAAATTCCTCAATTTCTTCGGGAGTCAGAAGAGCCATTTTTTGCACCTCCTCGAAGGGCCACTCAACATCACAGTCAGTTTGTCCGCAAACAAATTTGTAGCCCCCCTAAAAAAATATAAAACAAATCATGAGAAAATATATTGATCAGAAAAATTAGCTAATTATTATTATGCAGCAATTTGTTTTTCACCAAACACATTTCTTCATTTCATCTGTGTCAGGTACGAGCATCCCCGTTAATTAATGAATTAATGGACATCCTGCAGCCAATCAGAAACAAGTATTCACCAAAACCTGGAAACGAATTGGCAGGATCGCACTGCCGTGCAAAGTCGATGGCTTTTTATGCATTAAAACTAGATTTATACAGTTGTTGTTTTTTTATACCCTGATAGAAAAGTCAAAGGCATTTGGTTGAACCGGTGTTTTCCTCCGGTGTCGCCCCACTAATCCCCGCCTATACCGTTCGGACGTCCCCGATGAGGGGGACGCGGACGCACGAACCTCGTCCAGCTGCCTGCGGCACCAGGCGGTGAGGGACATCGGAGTGACGGCGTGTCCGCAGGACATCGTGGCTCTGAGAGACGCGTAGTCCTCGCACAGAACTATACGAGACACGCACAAGAACACGAGAGGACGGGCTCGGTTTCGTGCAATCGAGCATCCAAAAAGGAAAATGTAAAAAAAAAAAAAAAATTAAAAAGTTGGTAAAAAATTCAATCTGGTACTTACAATCCAAGACGTCATCTGCGTCGACGAAATTGAGAGAGACGTCATTCGAGTCGTAACGCTTCTCTCTGCCAGGAGAAACCCGTGTTTTCTGTCGCTTCCGTCCAGCTGACAGTTTGTTTCCCATGTTGACTGCGCGTGTTTTCCTTTCTCACATTAAATAACGACACAACTGTCCGCCAATTCGTCTCTTCTCCTGAAGTCATGTGATGTGAAGTCAACTCCTGTTGCACAACCGGAATACTGATGAGGATTATTTCGCCTACAACGCACACCTCCTGCGCTCCTCTCGGTATAGTGAACAGGATCTGAACAGCATCGGGTACAAAATGGCAATCAAGCTGAAAATAAATGGACCAACGGGAAGAGAGACGATCCTCACTCTGTGTGACAATGAAGAGGATATGAAGAATATCACAGGAAAACAGCTAAAGAAGAAAATCCGTCAAGAATTGGGGATAGGTACGATCCTTTATGCATTATGTATCATAGAGGCTATTTCGATTTGACCTAATACAGCCTGTAAATGAATATGAAAAAATAACATTTTATGCAAATGTAGAGCTATGCTTAAACTAACCCGTCTTTAACACAGGTGATGAATTCACGATGGTCTACAGAAGCAACGAGCTGCAGGAATCCTCCCTGCTGACGTCCTACGGGATCCGACACATGTCCACGGTCCACACGGTGCTGATGCTGCCCGGAGGGGTCCGGCGGGGAGATGGAGACGCGCCGACAACCACCCGGGCGACACACAGCGGTTAAAACAGCCCGCACGAGATTTTGCCGCCACCGTGTGTACCATAGGCATTACGGTAGTGGCGTTCAAAATAAGAGCGGTTCCGGCGAACGTTGTGAAAAATGTCACGTTCATTCAAACAGCCTGGAAATCAAATAGAGATGTGATAATATATTAACAAAACATGGCTAAATAGATCGGAAATATGTATGATATACGGTCTATAAATTGTGTCTTTTAACAAACACTAATAATTACTGCATTCAAACTGTATTGGATGAAAAATGTTAATAAAGAATACTTTAACACAGACAAGAGAATATTGACATTCTTGAGCAACATTTCAAAATGAAAGCCCTTCGAAATCTCATTGATGAGCTAACGTCTGTTGAAATTTCAGTTTAAATTGAGAGATTTAGAGTGTCACTCATCATGACGACTTTAAAAATGAAAGCAGTTCATGTTATGAATGAACGATGTTCCATCAAAATTATTATATGCACAGGCAGACATCCCTTTTTTGGTTTCAAAAGGAGGTGCAGAGCTGTTAGATGTAGACGTTATATATACACAATATATACATACATATGTATAGAAATTATTTCGTAACAATTTTGAAGGGCTTTCATTTTGAATAATACTATAATATGTAGTTATTGTTGTGTGTTTATATGTTTTACTTTTATAGACTATATATCATGCATATTTTTGCTATTTCACTTGGTTTCTCAATGTATTATCACATCTACATATGATTTACAGGCTAATTAAATGAATGTGACATTTTTCATAACGTTCACCGGAAGTGCTCTTATTTTGAGGCCATTTCTTGAACTCCACTACCGTAATCTCTAGTATATACCGCAGTACCAAACCCGAATGAGCTCTCCATTGTTTCTCAATGAACGGTGAAAGGATGTTTAGAAAGTTGATAACGGAAACAAAACAGTATAAGATACGGTTAACGTACTCTCATGTAAAGCTCTGAATTATTCTGCATTTATTTTTAACGAGCTGGATGAATAAAATAAGACCGAAACTCCGAAACCGAAACGGAATAAAGATCTGTTTTAGAGGCACGTTATTTTGTGGTTAACCGGGCTCGAAAAGAAGGTCATGCCTATTAATCATCTTAAACGGATGCTAAATATACTCTTCTCTTCCTGGTGTGTCAGGTAAAAAGTGTTCCGGGAGATTCCTTATAATTAAATTCTGACGAGAAACTCAAAACAAGCAGATCCGGAGAAACAGCTTTCTGTTGGAGGCTTAAAAGAAAACAATGGCTAAAATATTCCTTATTGCAGCGCAACTGTACATGGTACCTTTCTTTATCACAATTAAATGGCGCCTCACTAGTATAAAAATATATATTTTTAAAGAAATAGGCCATTTTACATCCATGTTTCAAAATAAAAGGCTACATTAATATTCCCTTAATTTCCATTAAGGCTCATTGCGTGACGTGAACTGAGACATTAACGGGAATTCACTTCCTCCACTGAAGCTCACGGATCATTACGTGACGGCCAGCTGACAGTAAGTACTTCACAGATTCTTCCTCTGATGTACGAAAAGATTCTCGCGATCGATTTGTTTTTGCTCTATTTATCGCGTTTTTACTATACGATCTGTAATCAGGTTTAAAATGCCATTCACCGCTTGGATTAACATGGGCAATATTACAGTGTCATTCGCAGGATAGATTTTACTGGTTTAACCTCCTGAGCCCAATCGAAGCAAACTGTATACAGACATTTGCAAATCGCAAATCTTAGATTCAAAATCCAAATTACACTGAGCCAAACTTCTCTGCAAAAATGACGATTTTTGATCTGCGGAAGAAATAAAAGCACCTGAATTTAAATGGAAAGTCATCACTCAGTGATGGGAAAACACATTCAAACCTTCTGGTCTCTTCTGCAGCCACACGTTTTCATAAAGCGCTGCACTGCATCTCTGACCTCATCAGATGGCTTTTGTTTTTGTTTTTCTCAAATAAGTAAACATATACTTTTGTTATATTTCCAAGAGGAAAGATGAGCGGCTCAAGACAACGATCGAACAACGAGCTGGTGAAGTGGGTGAGGGAAAAAAGCGATAACAACGCAGGTGAAGAAGGACACTCGGTGGATAGAAAACAAGAGATTGTGGGGCCACAATGTAAAAAGTTGTCACGTAATGACATTTTCTGTTTCGTTCAAGGGACTCGGAGTGTTCATTATGGTCTGTACAACCAGGGCGCCACGTGTTACCTCAACAGTGTCCTGCAGGTTCTCTCCATGACAACAGAGATCCACGACAGGTGCGATGCTTTCATCTGTAGAGGATAGCAGCAGCTCAAATGTGGATCTCATCACTCAATCAATCAGTGAAGATGTTTAAAAAATGGCCATCGATGAACTCACCTCTTCCTACAGGCTGGAGTCAGGATCAAAGACCACGGATGACGAGCTGAAAACCCTCTTCAAATATCTAAAGGAAGCCACGGGTAGAACAGAAGACATCACAGAGAGTTTGGAGGTGGAGAACGGTGAGAAAGCATTGAGGGAAGTCACACGGCAGCTGGAGATGCTTTGGTGTTCACTGGATTCAAACGTAAATGTCCATTTCAAAGTTCACCTACAAGGTGACGCGGCGGACTGCCTGGTGAGGATTTTACGCAAGATCAGCCCACGGGCCTCTGAGGTGAGCGTGAAACCTCTGAGACGAAGGTGTTTTACAGGTGAACCACCACAAAGCCGCGACGTGTAGGCGACATTTCTATTCGTAGGTTTTCAAAGGAGAGCGGACGGATGCGATAAAATGCTGCAAAGGTCACACCATCAACGAGGACATCGACCCATTCTGGTACCTCTCACTGTCACTGGAGGACACCAGCGACCCGTCCACAGCACACAGCGTGGTGAGCGGCCGCCGGGGTGTCTTTGGGGGGGGGGGGGTCAACGTGAGATGTTCCAATGTGGAATGAATTGACGGTTGCGTTTCCACAGGAAAAAGGCTTCGAGAGGATCTTCAGGTCTCGAGTGCTGGACGGAGACGCGGTCTACTGCAACGTCTGTGGCGAGGAAACCAAGGCGACCTGCGTCAGTCACTCCACGTTCAGCCCAAACACAGACGGTTTCTCGCTATAACGACGTCCAATAACGCTTCCTGTGTCGTTTAGGAGAGCGAGATGGTGTCATACCCTCAGATCCTGAGTCTTCTCATCAAGAGATTCATCTTGGACAACAACACAAAGTCCCATTTCAAGTCGAACCGCTGCGTGGACGTCCCGCGGAAGCTACAGAGGAACGTAAGGAGAAGACACTTTTAATGTCCAACCTCCTTTAAATGCGTTAGCGGTTCCTGACTGCGCGCGCTCACTGCAGCACATGAAGTACGAGGTGTACGCGGTGGTGAATCACACGGGCAGCGTGAGCGGTGGACACTACACGGCCAGCGTCCTGAGCCACGAGGACGGCGCCTGGTACGAGTTTGACGACGCCAACGTCTACAAGGTGAGGGTCCGTTTGATGCGTCCAGTGGGACGTATGTTTCAAACCCCCCCCGACCCCCAAAAAAATAACTAAAGTCGGGGTTTTCTTTGTCGTTTTAATAAAAGATTGAAGAGCAACCGTTTGCAGAAAGCGAGACTTTCAGGTACGCTGGATTATTTCCGTTTCATCACATGGGACAAAGCTGCAGTCCTGAGATACATTCTGTCGCCTTGAAATGTTTACAGTACCTTTCCAACTTGTTTTCTTTGTATTCGTCTGTGCAAACCCATCATTCTAAATGGTTGTTCCGCAGTTCTAGCACAGCCTATCTGCTCATGTACAGAGGTAAGCTCACCCGGAAGCACCAACAGTCAATGTGCGTCTGCCATGTTCGACAGACAGTTGATACTCTAGATTTCTTTTCCTCCACTTTAAAGAAGCGGCCAAACACGACCAGGTAGTTTCAAACCGCGACGAGGACGCAATCCAAATTGTTTACCCAGGCCAAACCCAAGAAACGATGCACCAAAGGGGAGGACAGGGCGGTGAGGAGATGCACCCTTTTTTATTCCAACGCATTGTAATTAACACGCTGGTTAATTCATTTCCTTCTTACGTCCCCACCAGACAAGTGTCCAACGTGCAAGAGGACTACTCTTTGGATTTCCCTCATCGTTGTCATTTGTGTGTTGGTCCTGATTCTCGTTGTTGTATTACCAATAGTGTTAATAAAGTAGGGAGGATTCATGTCAGCGCTGAACAGGAATGTTACTGATGAAGGTGTCACCTGGAATGTTAATTTTTTCTCTATAAGCAACTATTCATCCCATGTTGTATTGTTTTTTTTGCCATGTTTTCTCACTTCGCTTGTTTAGTATCACTGATTCATTAAGTAAACGTTTGCCTGTTCACAAATTTGCTGTTCTTTCAAAATATTATGTTTTATTCAATTAATTCCCACCCCACTTTCCCTCGCATGAATATTATGATTTAATAAGAAAAAATAAATAAAGTCATCAAAAACCACATTTATTTTTTTTCAAAAGTTGGTTATGCGCAGCGGGTTTTAAGGCGGCGGCGCCGGCTGCAGGTCGGTGTGGTCCTCTGGTGCAGAGTGGACCCGGACCCTGCAGAGGACACATTTCCTGCAAGACACCGCGGCTGCACCCAGGAGACACACGGCAGCCATGGCGCCCAGCGCAGAGGCGGCGGCTGGCCCCGCGGGGGGCCCGAGGGGCGGCCGGGTCCAGTTCTGGGCCGAGGTCAAAGTCTCACTGGGCGAAAATCAACCTTGTATAAGTAAGTGCGAGTTGCACGTTGGCATCAAGAGCAGCGGCGCTTGTTTAGAGTCGTGCTTGCCTCGTGGTGGGAGTCGGAGACGCGCCGACGGCGTCTGCGGGGGGAGTGACGTCAGCGTACAGACACAACCTCCGGTCGGGGCAGAGGACCGAACCCTGGTACCCTTTTATCTGACGGTTAGAAAACAGCAAGGACGGAACACAACAAATGAACCGGGGGATCTGCAGGATGAACTCCGAAACATATTTTCATCAACTGTGACATTTTAGAAAAAGGAGTAAACCAACAATCATTCTAATGGATGAGCAGCAATACAGCAAGACCACGTAGCCAGTCACCCATGCGGTTACCTGAATGGCGCCTCCTGCTGGACAGTCCACCCAGTCAGAGCCCGACACCTGGATCCGGTATCCGTTCGGTCCCGTACACCTGTGTCTATAACAACGGCCCTCCACGGAGCCGCCGAGCGAGAGAAACTCACCCCGGTTCTAAAAAGAAAGAAAGGCGTAGAGGGAAGAAATGAATGTAAGTAAAGGGAAACCGTCAGGGAGCAGGTGATGCGTTTCACATACATGTGCACACATAAACACACCTGTCTGGTCAGGTTGGAGAAGAAGCATCGGCTGTGAAAACCAAAGAGCTCCCCGCTCAAAGGCTCTTTGTCTCCATTTTCCTCTTTCCAACATTCACTCTGAAGAACGAGAGGAGGACAAAGAAAATGTTGCAATTAAAAAAAGGCACAAGAAACATAAAAAAAAAAAACATATTCCTGCTGTGTGATTAGAAACTCCAGAGCAAGAGAAGGAAGAATGTTTGATTGATATAAAAGACAAAATGAGAAATTCTGCATTCAATGCATTTTTTTTGGCAAAGAAAATCAGATGAGAGGAAATAAAACTTACTCCATTCTTGAGGGGTTTATACAGTCGACAACCCTCCAGGTGCGGATCGGTCTGGCACTCCCCCTTGTGGAGGTGAAGATAGTGACACCCAAACCCACTGCGGAGGGAACAGAAGTAAGAATATAAGGGGAATATTGGTGCTGGAAATTATGGATGAGAAGAGAAAACTTACCAACATTGTACTTAAAAAGTTGTTGTGTCAAAATATATAATTACAACTCTACCTGCCGGTGCAGAAGAAGGACGAGGACTTGTTGTGACAGGCTGACAGCGAGCCGAACATGGTTCCTTCATCTAAAAACAGACCCACCTTTACTCGTCTTTTCTCTCTTTAAAACAATCTGAGTGAGGATTGGATCCACTGTGCCCATTGATCCTCACCGCCTCCCCAGACCAGACTCTGAGCCCGGCTCAGGTCCACCGTGTACCAGCCTGTATCCTGCATCGCGGCCAACGTGACCGGGTCGATCCGGACCGTGGTCGGGTCGCCCAGCACCGCCGCCATGATGGAGCCCTGCAGGACCCGGGACTCCCAGTGAGAGGACACTCCGCCCGGCGGGACGTCCTGCAGAAAGCCGGTGCATAAAACCCGTGAGCATGACGGATCTCTTGTAAACAAAAAAAAAAGTGGGTTGGAGCAGCTCGGTACCAGGTTCTCTAGCGGGCCCCCGAGCTCGGGGTGAGTGGACGCCAGGTGCCTCTGCAGGGCCGCGATGACGGACGGGGTGTAAACCCTCGTCTGGCCCCGTCCGTCAGAGTGAGTCACTCGGCCTCGAGGAGAGCAGCGAGCGCCAACTGAGCCCCAAAGAAAACGTTTAGAAAAATGAAGTCATCTGAATAAATGTGTTATAATGAAAACATTAGAGAGTGTTTGAAAACCTTGAAAAGAGGAGGAGCAGTCTCTCCAGGTGGGGAAGAGCTCTTTAGAGAAGCCAAGTGCATGAAACAGCTCGTGGATCACAGTCTGGAACAACGGATCGCAATTCAACACAACCCATGAAGTCTCACTTACAATATCAGCAAACACGCACCTGTGCGGTGGCCCTTCGGCTGTGTGTGGCCCCCGTCAGTTTGTCCCTGCAGATGACCACCACCCCGGCCAAGGGCCGCCCGGACGGGTCCGTCTGACAGTGCGCGGCGTACGCCAACACGCCAGGCTGAGAGGTGAACGCAGCAGCGAATGAGAGAGATGCAAACCCTTGACCTTTTTGATCACGAGTGAGTTTGATGTTTTTATCAAGCGCTCCTCACCTCCGCTCGACACTTGTCGGTGGCCCGAACGTGGAGGTACAGCAGGAAGTCGCCGCGGGGGAGTCCGGCACCTTCGGGACGCAACTCAGTCCTCCGAGGGGAATCGGCGTCCGGGTAAATATCACATCCGGCCAGATGGTCGTCTGGGATCTGTTGGTAAGAAAAACTGTCAAACAAAAAGGTTTCGGTGATTTTGTTTCCTGAATTAAAAGGTAATAAAGTTATCTGACTGATCCTCACCGTCACATCCAGGCAGGTTTCAGCTCTGTAGTTTTTGTTGGCTCGACCACACCTAAGGACACAAAAAACGTAATTCAACCAGATCTGAAGACAGCGGGACGACACAGATTTGTCTTCGAATAAACTCCAAAATATAATCGGCATGAAAATAAATTGAACACACCTGTTTTTATTGACCTAAGCGAAGATAATCTTAAAGCTAGAGGACCTTCACATCTGGATAAAACCACAAACTACACAAAACACACCTGTTGTAGTTGGCAGTACTTGAATTCTTCCACAGAAACTTGCAGTATTTATTGACGTCTCTGCTGAGCAGCAATGGACCCGGCCGTCTGTTCACTGCGGAAAGGTCAACAGGTCGTCATTGCAGCCTGTTTGTGTTCCACCTCGGACACATTATAGTTTGGGGCTAAAACGCCGTCAAAGCGGTGTTAGGCAAGTAGTGGTTATGATTAAAGTAAGTGGACTTCCCCAGGGAATTAATGCAAGTCTATGTAATATCCCAAAATGTGATAAATGAAAAACGTAATAAAACGTGCGTTTCACCTGACAGTAAAGACGACACCGTCCTCACGGCCTCCTCCACCGCTGCCTGCAGCCGCTCTCCCTCAGCCCCCGATAGGCCGGCGCTCTCAGCCGGTACCCACGTCCGGATCCTGATTGGCTGCGGGGGGGCCGCGCTCGGGCGCCTCCCCGCCGTCACCAGGAGGCCAGGCGGAGGCGACGCCTCGCCCTCCGGACGGTCGGTCAGTGAGGCCTCGGGCTGGTTGGGGGCGCTCGGCGGGGGGGCGGGTGCAGCTCGGACCACCCTGGCCCGGGCCTGAACCTCGTCAAAGATGCACTTCTGAAGCGCTCCGGGGAGCTCCGCCACAAGCACCGCCATTAACGCAAAGATCCCCACCCGCAGCATCCGGCGTGGAGGGGAAGCCATCATTACAGCAGGGGACCATTTCAGGGAGCTTGACCAAGCGGAGGGAACTTACAGCCTGATGGTAGCGACACAAAAAAGGTCACAAGCGTATCGACTTCCCCAACACAACAGAAAATATCAAACTAAATGCAGTATTCATTTCAAATCGTTTTTTTTTTTTCCTTTATCAATAGGGATCAGTTTGTTTGGCTCACTTGTTTTATGGCATTCACCGGTTCCTCTTTACGTTACAAATATTAAGTTGTTCACTTTTCTTTCAAAAGCAGCTTATGGGGACATTAAAAAAAAAAGTAATATCAGACTCAAAAAGTCAGATTACGTTTTTCTACAAATATGGAAATACATCAAGCTCAAAATGGATGATTTCCATCATAATCTCTCAGGTCATTCAACAGTCAGATACAGCAGGAGGGGAAACACGCTCAACAGCTGTCCAACGTCGAACCGCTGCAGCGATCACTTTCCTGCGGCATTAATTAATTAATTCAATCGTATTTATCGGTCTCGACCCGTCGGGGTAAGCGGCTTCCTTTTGTCTGCACTCACCTCTTCATCCTGAAGACGAGCGATGGCCGATCTTCCAGAACCACTGAAGCTCTCCATGAGGAATCTGTGAATGTCTTTGGGAACTTTGAATACAAAGCACAATGCAACACCTCCGGCCTCCCTGTGAAGGAGGCGCCAGGCGCCACCCCCTCCCGACCACCCCCATGGCCACCAGACACACACACACACACACAAAAACACCTGGCAAAGTAAAAGTGCAAATTGTTTAATCTCAGCCACATTTTTTTTAAACTTATATACAGTGAAGTTGACCCTATTAAACCATATAATCACTTTTGCTCATATTTAACCTCATTAAATTGCAAATTTAAAACTCGACCCAAAATACATTCAACAAAAGGGAAACATTACCAAACCAAAACATAAAATGTACAACGCAAATGACAAACCAAAGGTCTGTTGTGTGAAGATGCGACAGAATGCGATCAACTCCCCCCAAAACTAATTATTTAGCTGATTCAGGGCCCCTTTTTCATCACAGGGGCGCCTCATCTTTCCGCGCACAACACACACACATCCTAAGATCAGGCACCAAAGAGATTGTCTTTTGACACATTTGCTTTTATGGATTACATACATTCACTTGAGCAGTGTGTTTGTGTGCATTTAGAACACAGTTACTGTATTACAGGGTCCCAAAACATTATTGCCAGCTTACAGAGTCCATGCTTTTTCTATTTTTTTTTAAAAGGATTTTTTCACGTCGCAATAAAGCGATGTCGCGTGTCGCGAGGTGAGAAAACGTGCTTCTGGTGTGCGTGTGTCTCGGGAACCGTCCACAAGAAACTCCTCAACAAGGCACTTAAATAGGGGTGATGATTTGTCTCCTGTGGTAAACCATGAGACCGGATGCAAGTGGCAGGAGTATTAGAGACGATCTACAAACATACTCCATTGTCAACGTAAGACTAAAACGCAAATGCAGTCACACAGTTGCACTTAAACAAACACAACGCTTTCCGTTGTGTTTGTTAAAAACTCAAATCACTCAGACAGACAGTAGCCTGCGTTCTGTTTTCTGGATAAGGAAGATTCATCTGTGCAAAAAGTTCAAGTGAGTGCAACATCCGACACTCGCCCACACTGCCTCTGCTTCCCATCCTCGACTGATACCAACTCAAGGAGGTCTTTCAAAGCGAAACACTCGATTCCACAAGTCAACAAATATAACTCAAAGCGATTTCAAAAAAAAGGCACCAGACTTGCACAGCGCGGGTGAGTCTCCTGTGCTTCAGCTCAAACAAACGTGGAAGGACTGAGTCGCAGTTTTTTAAAAATCGGTGAGTGTAAGGGTTAAAAAGGAGGAGTTGTGGGAGGCGGGTGGAGGATTGGGGGGTTACGGCGTCATTCAGGTGAGCATGGGCACGTCGTCCTCTGAAGTGGTGTCTTCAGACAGCGGGATGAGCAGCACCTCGTCGTCCGAGGAGGACGAGGAGGAGGAGGAGAACGAAGGGGAGGCAGAGAGGGGCATGGAGTTGGTGGAGGGCGAAGGCGAGGCCCTGAACAGGGAGATGCTCAGGCCCAGCGTGTGGAAGATGGAGGCCAGGGAGGGGCTGCTCGGGGGCACGGCGACCGGCGGAGTGTTGGGGGCGGCCGGGCTCGGAGCCGGAGGGGCGTACGGAGGTGGCGGAGGGGACGCGCCCGCCGACAGCGGCGGCAGGGGAGGCGGTGCCCCCTGCTGCTCCGACCGAGCCAACAGGCCAAGTTTCTGAGGCACCGGCTGGTTGACGGCCTCCACAGCCGACGATGAGGAGGAGGAGGAGGAGGAGGTGGGGGCGGAGTGAGCAGTTTCCTGTCCGGAGGGCGCGGCGTCCGACTGCTGCTGGGTGGAGCTCGACGCCTGACTCGGCCTCGACGGATGCCTGGGGATTAGGCCCCACCTCCTCATGCGGCGGACGGCGCGGCGGACGAACCGGGGCCGGCGCCTGCGGTGCGGGGAGTTGGCGGCGTCCTGGCGGAGGAGCTGGAGAATTCCCCTCAGAGAAAGAGACGAGGTCTGACGAGGAGGAGGACGAAGAAAACGTTACGGTGAGTGGAAATACCGCTGATTAAGTGAAGGGCGGGACTCAAAGAGTACAAAGCAAACAAATAGTTTGTGCCCTTTTCTCTCACCTCATTGGGGTTTTCCGTGGGGAAGTCCTCCACTGGCGGGATGATGCCCTGTGCAATCAGCTGACCGTAGGAGGGAGGAGCCTGCTGCTGGATCAGCTCCGCTTCCTGGCGGCTGATTGGTGCAAACAAGCTGCCGGAGACAGACTGACGCATTAAGATCGGACACCACCTGCATGTTCTCCTTGCTATTATCATTCTGTGTCACAAAGAAATCGATACTATGCTACATTGAACGCGCAAAAAGATATTGCAAAAAAGTGTGTGTGGAAAGCACATTTTAAAATATATACATATGACTCAGTAGAAATGGTACTCCCAACCGTTACCTGTACTCCCTGGTCCTGAGCGAGTATAGTTTACAGGTGCAGCCCATGGCGATGACAAGCAGAAGCCCACAGATGAGGCTGCCCACCGTTGCCGCGGTGATGACCTTTCGGGGCAGGATGACTGTGCAGGTGAGCTCGTCCGTTCCGTCCTTGCAGTCCACCTGGCCGTCGCAGCGCCAGCTTTCAAACACGCACCTGCAGGCGGGACAAAGGGCCGTTTGTGTGTTAGTGAGTCGAGGAATTAGTCAAATGAGGGACTCGGTTCCACGTCAAGTTTCAACCTGAGGCGTGCCGCACAAAGAATTATTATAAAACCACATGATGGCACAGGGTTAGATACTGTAAAATCATATCAATCAATCCCTAAGCTGTTGAAGGAGTTGAAAACTAATGCAATTTTACGAAAGTATTGTTTATGTCAAGTTTGCAAACATTAATCAGCTATACATAGATTATGCTCACTACAATAGACACATAATCTCCTTTATTTTGGGAAAAATAGGCTTTTGTTTCGTCTGATTACACCACAAGTAGTGGTCATACTTTAAAAAAAACAAAAAAATCAATTTGACAGCAACATTTTTGCACACGCCCTGTGACTCACACACTTGTGTTATAAACATGGCACGCCTCTCAGCGGTACGCAACTAACCGAAAATCTATTAAAAAGAAAATGATAACAGCAGCTGAACAGCTACTTATTGTCCCTCGAGGAGAGACCGTCCGCTGCTGCTTTGAGAATCAGCCTCCAACATAAACGTTTGATACAAAATGTTTTAATATCTACAAATGAGCCAAGTCAATCTCCTGAGAAAGACTGTGGGACGGTGTTGACTCGGTTAATGATTATAAGAATGTTAAATAAAAAATAAGGATTAATAATTAATAAGCTGACTTAATTGAGATAATATTCTGACACTATAGTCTAACAATGACTGGAATGAGTGTAAGCTAATACGCATTTCTTCGAAAAAGAGCCGGATAGATCTAAAGAAAGCTGGTCCAAGAAAAGGACAAAACCGGGACCATTGTCCCCTTTGAGACAGGGACACACACACACACACACCGACCTGTCGCTGTCGCAGTGAAAGGTGCCCGGCTGACACGCGGCGCAGTCCCGCTCGTCGCTGCCGTCGGCACAGTACAGCTGGTAGTTGCAGCGCTCCGTCACCGGGTAGCACACCGGCCGGCCGGCGAAGTGACTGGACGGCGCCGCCACGCCGCACGCAAACTGGTTCACGCCGCAGCCCCTGCAGCCCTCCTCGTCCTTCCCCGTCTCGGGACAGTCCCACTTGCCGTCGCAGCGCTGCTCCTGGGTGAAGCACCCTCCCGCCGCTCCGCCGCAGCGGCCCTCCCAGGGGGGGCAGTAGGTGCCGACGTGGAACGTGGCGTTGAAGCCCTTTCCCTCGGAGCCGGGGACGGTCACGTAGACCATCGACAGCAGGCCGGTGTGGGATTCTACTTGGACTGATTTGTAGTTGGAGGCGCTGGTGATCTGTCGAGAAGCAATAAAAGGGAACATCACGTCAGCGAAAGGGTTTGTTTTTGTTTATAAATGTTTAAACGGACAGAAACTCACAATCTTCAGGACGTCTCCTTGGCCTTGCTCCCTGTCGTACACGGTGAGTCGGTCCCCGGGTCCCAGCACCAGCTGCTGCAGGTCCACCCTCAGTGGCCTCGAGTCTTGAGGATCCAGAGTCCAGACACACAACAGCGCGGGGCCCCGGGTGGCCGGGGGGGAGAAGGTCCCATAGAAGGTCTGCAGGAGGCCTCCGCAGGGCCACTCTATTGGAGTGGGCGTCACAACCGGCGGCCCGCGGGTCTGAAGCGGCCCCTGATCCACCGCTTTGTTCCTCTCCCTCATCAGCTCCCACAGGTCAGCTTCCGTCACGTAACGTCTCTCGGAGTCCAGATCGTGGTTCTGCTCAGAGGACGCCAATACCACGCCGTCTTCTGCCGGCGTGATGCCGTACTTTGAAGGTTCAGGGGTCTCCTCTTCCTCGTCACAGCCACGTTCATCGGAGCCGAGGCCCGGGCCTTCGCCGAGACACTCCACCTGGCCATTACAGCGCCAGGAGAGAGGGAAGCAGCGCCCATCCCGGCAGGGAAAGAACATTACCGGGCATACGCCGGAGTCGGGTTGTGAAGAAACTGAAGGGGATAAAAGATTTTATAGATTTTGACAACTGGAACTTGCGGCAAAAATATAGTCATATTTAATAGTTACTTATTTACAAGTGGTGAGGATTGTTTCAACTAAAAATATTTAAGAAAAATCGCATTGCTGTCATACCTCTGGCGTAGCTCAACAGAAAAGACGACACGGGGAACTGATGCGGGAGGAAGTGGTGCATCACACTAATATTTCCCCCTGGGAACTCCATTGGCTGCGGCAACTTGGAGCCACAGAGGACGACCGGCTCACTGACAGCTGATGATTTTATAGAGACCCATTCCTTCCGACTACACTGAGCGGAAAACTGTGAAAAGCTGAGAAACGAATTTAGGTTAACGATCAGTGAAGACACAATCTCACATGCAGAAACCTACAAAGAGATGAGGCAGCATTTCTGAGAGAACTGTTATTCATCCAAACGGATGCTTTTATCATATTTTTTGATGTAGCAAAGACGGAAAGTCTCATATTACATCAAATTTAGTGTGTAACTATCAAAGAGGCATATGACGACATTACCTGAGAACGATGGGTTCGTCTTCAGACCCTTTGATGACCCAGCAGTCAGAGGAGGAGCCGTAGCGGTAGGACCAGGTGTGGTAAGTAGAACTCCTGATCTCCCCCACTTTGTTGTCCATCACTTGCAGGGAATGCCCACAGCGAGCTGCCAGAGAGGAGAGCGAACGTCAAGAAGGATAAACGCCTCCCGTTTGTGAAGCTTAAAAGTTTGAACGCATGGTATTAAACCTGTATGATGCGGCTGGACTATTTTTTTTATGAAACCATACTTCCATTTCTTTCAATGTAGCTCAGCACACTCGAATTAAGTAGCGTGGCACAAAAACCATGAGGAAAGTTAAATGTTAAATGCTCACGTGTTCGTGAGAGAAGAGTATGCAACATTGAATAAGCCTCCCATGACATCTGGCACAACGTGAGAAAGTGCAGAGGGGTTTGTCTCCTTACCGGTGCAGAGGGCAGGCTCCAATCGGCTGCATGCTGCGGAGGAAGTGAGCAAAAAAACAGAAGTTATGCCGGCGTTTTATCAGATTGTAAACCTTGTAAAATACGAGACTTACAAACACGACCTTTGCCTGATACACATTTAACAAGGGCCACTTGGATAGATAAAGAGGCAAACACACTAATGAATTCACTCACCTGTTATAGTGAAAACTACAAGGGCACGGATGCTGCACAGGACTGTCATTGTGGTAATGCTTCCTCTCAAAAATGCTGGAGATTATATCAAAGCTGAAGCGTGAAATAAAGGGGTAAACAAACGTCAGCGCAGTGCCATTTTCAGGCGGGTTTGTTCAGGAAGACTTCATCTGTAAAGTGAAAGAAGAAAAGATGAATGACAGGTGTATTACATCTAGTTGTCAACTATAAAAACAGCCTCATAATGTTGTTACTCCCTTTTGTCTTTCTTAGATCTTGCAAAACAAACATTTTGAAAATGATCAGCAGATGAACCATTAATAAAAACAACTGTACGTTTGTAGATCTCGTTTTCAACTATACAACCTCAGCTTAAGAATTGTTTTACTACTGAATTCGGCTCCAGTTTTCTGATCTTATGAAAATAAGTAAATTCCTCCCATTTGTGGGGCAATTTGAAGTGCTCCTGCTTTAAAACACATTTACTGGACTGATAAATATGACACTTAAGAATGAGCGTTGACATGTACAGTAATATCCAGAATCAATCCATTACTGCTCATGTTATACATAAGAAACCAGGGGCATTTTAGCTGTGCTTCGTGATAGTTATCTGCATCTTGATCATCGGGTTTACTCACATAACACACGTACACAAACACACACATTTATATATGCGACTTCCTCCACGTCTTCCCAACAATGACGTCAGGAACGCTTCCACTTCCGAGACGGGATCTAAAATAGTTTCTAAAGTCTCTCTATTATTCCCAGTAAGGCTGTCGAGTTCTGGGCAATTCATAAATAGTTTAGACAACGCCCCGATAAGACGTTAGGCGATAGTTTCGGTTTGAGGAAGGAAGGAAGCGGGGGAGGCAAATGCTCGCTGCCGTCAGTCACAAGCGCTTTAATGGCTAGCTAGCTTCCTGGCGAGCTAACGGCTAACTGCTAACATCCTCACTTTTGTTCTCGTTTAAACGCCTTTTTACAGACGGCGACACCGCGAGAAAACGTGTCGGAACACGACACGGAGGGTTTTAGCACCCAAATGAATCACGACGCGTTGGTTAGAAGCGGCAACAACGTATTAAAACGGATGAAAAGGGACAAGCGCCCAGTACGTTACCATGTCAGTTGGCCTTTCGTGTTGACAAGTTTCTGAGCCACTTCCGCGTACTTTAGCCCGTGACTGGGGGGGGCGGGGCCTAACTGTTTTTTTCATTCATAAAATGCCACGTTTCTCTGCGCATTAAACGTCTTACACGAGTATATGCAGCCACTGGGATGCACGTTTATATGTTTTTACCTTCCCGAAGGGCGGCTAGCGTCTAAAAGGACGTAGTGTGAAGTGTTGTTTTCTTGACACAAGGTGTCAGTGTTGGTTAGTACACATGTATGACATTAGTTTCACTTCACAAAAATGTCATTTATTTTAGTTGTACCCTACTTTACACTTCTTCTCCAGCAAATATAGGCATTGGAAGAAAACATGTTCAAATAATTTACTAGATAGCAATCAGTATTTTATTGTCTTATTTTGGCCTATTTCTATTTAAATAAAAAACAATGACAAATACTGAATTTTGAAAACGTATCTCTAGGCTAAAGAAATATTTTTGAATGGTCCATTTCTGTGTCCCACATATCTGCCTATAATCCCTCTGCAAATTGGCATCTGCCTCAGCGTCAATAATTGGTACCCTGATAAACCCGATCAGCCATGAAAAATTAGCACATCTGGAGGAGGACCCAAAGAAAATCTCCCTCTCTCTCCCTCCTCCCTCCCTCTTTCTCTCTCTCTCTCGCGACCACGTCGCGCGCGTCGCAGACAATCCCTCCACCGGACAGGAAGCCAAACTATGAAGCTTTAGGGAACAACAGCTGAGGCTTTTGTCAACGCCGGCTGACGATTTTCGGACTTTTTCCACCTCTAAGGGAGTTTGTGCAGAAAAACCCGCCCGGTGCGCAACTGGTGTCCATGTGGAAACGAGTCCTATGCCATGATTTAAAAAGCACCGCGGAGTAGTTACTCGACTTTTTTCTTTATATCTTTTGTTGTTATTTTTCTTCGCCTGCTGTCTGGACGGCGGGACTTTAGTAGTAAAGCAATTTTTTCCAACGTTTTTTTGGGGGGGCAGTTTGCAGATAGAAGAATGCTGCCCCAGATCCTCGCCCTGGCCTGTGGCCTCTGCTGCTTTGGTTTATCCTCGGTCACTGCAAATGTGCTAAAAGCAGAGGTAAGTCTGATGGAGTATTTACTTTCAACAATGCCAAGTAATCCACATACGGTTTGAAAGTCTGCCCCATGAGATGTTACGTGTGAACAATTTTAAATTTTGACAACATTCCTGGAGGATATAAAGCGTTCTGCTTGTCTTGTTTCACTCGTGTCCGTACGGTCTTTCCAATTGTCTGTAGCTTTTTTTTCTTCTAATCTTGCAAAAGCGAGGAACGGCACTGTTTATGCTGCTGTGTTTATTCTGCCTCCCTCAACCGTCTCCTGGAGTTTATCTTTCTGCACTAACAGCTGCTTAGAAGACGCCACTTGTAACAAGACACGGAACTTCAACCAGAACAAATGGTCACGAGTCAAAACTCTTGTGAAAGAGGAGATCCAGCCGTGCAGGGGCAGTTTGGAAACCTCAGCTGAGCTGCTTTGTTCTGTGAAGGAGGGGTGGGGTGGGGGGCTGGTGGTGGTTTTCGGGGGAGTGCGTGGGTGGGGGTAATGGTTTTCATCTGCTTGAGGAGAGCGCAGGAGAAGCTGGTCTGCATTCACAACAAGCCGGACATGAGGGAGACTGGAAGTGCCGTCAAGCCCTCATGCAGCGTCCTAAGTGATTGGGCACCAGGGTCATGGGGTCAGGGGTCAGGGTTCAGTCACGCTGCACGCACGAGGTGTTTCTCTGACGGGTGGCCGCAGTAAAAGGCAGCCGTCTGGATCAAGCCGATCCACGCAGCGAAACGTACACGTCGGGAGTCAGAGATGGCGTCCCGCGTGGAAGAAAAAAAAAAAGGCCGAGCGAAGGTGCCCGAGGAGTCGACCTTAGTCACTGACCGCAACCTGCCGGCGTGTGAGTCAAGCCAGACGTGGTGGGCAACGCGGGACAGTCAGACGGTTTGCAAGACGATGATGAACGTCCGTCGACAACGTGGGAGACACGGACACAACACCTGTAATGCGTGTATCACCTCGGGGGAATGAGCATCGAGCCCAGATTTAATCAGGCGCAGGTTGCGGTGACGCTGTCCGACACAGAACTGAAGCAGGACGAGGATGAGAATCAATTACGGGTTGAGGATTACATCACCTAAGTCGCTGCACGTGAACCCTGTGATCAAGAGACAGACGCGTCTGCGTGCGATAGGAGAAACACAGTGAAAACAAGACCAGGGTTGACATAGATGTTTATTTTAAAATGTTGGGGGGTGAGGTAGCAGAAGTCCGACGGAGTTTGGAGGAACTTTGTGGTTTCTCAGCCTTGCTCAACATCTGAACGTCCCTCCCTGACGTTGCTCTGGCAAAGCGAACCTCCTCGATCCACGGCGAGTGAAAAGAGAAGCAGCTCCACGGGAAGCGAGACTTCCACCATTCTCAGAATCGCCGCGTCTGTTTTCATTCACCGCTCTTGCCTCGTCTAACCCTGGCGGCAGTGAAAACAACAGCGTCTAAAACAGGGTCTCTCCGTGAAAAAACACACTGGAGATTTTCCCCGTTGCCATCCGGAGACGCGCGTCTCGTGATGAAAACACATCTGGGTTCAATGGTCTTTATCTGCACCAGAGTGGCTGTTGATGAAAAGCTGCTCTCGAGACGTCACTGAAGAGATGCGCAGACCATCGTATGGATCGACCTTAATGAGAAACTGATGGACTTCAAGGGAGAAAGGGAGATTATCTTTGCTCACTCACTGTTTGGTTCAAACACAGGAAGTTTACACTGTGATGTTAAAAGTGCAGGTTTTGAAGTTCTCTGGTGCTCAGCTGGTTGGATTCAACATAATTTAGGCCAGATGTGCATTCATTTCATCATGGACATGTTGTACTTTTTACTGGATGAAAAAATATGTTATCGTAGCTTAAAAAAGAAGAGGCACTGTCACTATAGTATAGCATGTTAGAAGATTTGCATTACAACATTTAAACCCTCCCAACTCCCTTCATTAGCTGTTTTTGTAGCTTTGACTGCGTCGCCAGCGTCTTCATCAACCAATCACCAATGGAGTTCAGACAGTTGTCATGGAGACAGTTATTGTATCATAGCTGAAAATGGATGCATATAATAATATTGATTAATATCAAGCATGCAGTATATTAATGGGTCATTCTGCATAATACGCATCTATATTTTTTGATATATATTGGTTTATTTTGCTCCTTTTTCTCTCACATACTACCACTACTTACTGAACTAAATGATCTAAATTCGTCCTCTGCCACCACTAAAACAGCCAGTATCTTACATTTTACTTCATCACAATTCATAATATATTATGAGCTCCTTTTTATATTTGGGTTTGTGAAAAACTAAAGCTGCCAAATGAAGTGCAGTAACAAGTATAAATGATTCCTTTGAGTTGGTGTATGTGCAATATTTGAGTCAGGATACTTTCCACTACACGTCAGTTTGGCGTTTTTATTTTGCCGTAAAATCAATGTCTATTTCAACGGTGCCTCCAGTTGCATCACTGACACCATAGAAAACGTATTTGTGTCCCAGTAACGTTCGGCTTGCAGGTAAATGAGGTTTCACTAAGCCGAATATGTCACTTTAATTAACCTTTCTGACCCAGTAGGAATGTAAATTCGGAAAACAAATACATTGCATGGCGCCGCTGTGAGCGCTAAGTGGGTCAGAGAGGCATAAAACGAAGGCAACGTGAGGTTCAGGCCCTCATGAGCAGAATTCTCAGTTTTTTCCGTTGGCACCGATCTAGAGGAACAACTGACTCAGTCCCTTAAATTCAACTGCAGCCAACCCCCCCCGCTTCTTCCTCCCCCACCTCTCTTCTACTGCTCTTCTTTCTAATGTCTTTACCGCTACGTCTTTAATACGACTCTGCATCATCCTCTCGTCCCGTCCGCTCGCTTTCATCTCGTGCAACATGCAGCTTGAAACAAATGGTGTTTTGACACTTGGCCTTTCCTGCAGATCTAATTGAACACAAGGTTAATTATACACAGGCTCGCGTCATTATGGCGGTTTGATCTATCTATATATTGCGCACACACAAGCACCCACGTGATGAATATTCACGCGTAGGGACGGTTTCACTTCCTGTCATTCGTTTGTTTCACCAGAGCTGTTATAAACGCACAAGGGGATGTTTTTTGTAGGAACTTGTGGTTTGTGATTCTTTATCTTACTGCCTACGGAATACTCAGCCTCATGTGGGCGCGAGTAAGGGCGTGTGACGCCGGTTGGCACCCACATGTCCTGTGATGGGTGACGGGACATTGGCGCGTCACACGCATGCTTCCCGGCATCGCGCTCAAATTGTTTTGCAACTGTCGATTCTGAGATTTAGCGTTGTGGCTCCATATTGACCGTCTCTGCCAGCTCATGCTTATTTGACTCTGAATAAATTGCATCCAGAGATCAACTGAAGTATTTCCTGCTGCGGTAATCTGGAGGTGGACGCCGTTGTTTAACCCTAGTCCTGAAATGTTTATTTAACACTTGGCACGCTGTAAACATACAGCAGACAGGAGGGCTTGTCATCAAATGAGCCCACAGCAAACTAGAACCACGGGGCTCCTGTTCTAGCAGATTGCACAGCGTGGGAGGAGTCGGGGGTAATTAAAGGGGGGGGCGGGCCAGTGGCTCATTGTTGCCCCGTGGCCCCCTTGCAAGGCAATACAGTCACGTTGAAGGATGCGCTGAGGATTTAGATGTAGACGTTTATGATCTTTAGAAGAAGATGCTTAGGGGCCGAAGTGACTTTAATCACTTATTAATAGACATACAATAACTGGGATTAAGCTGCAAATAATGATTGCATCACTTCTGGAGAATCGCCTGATTATTTGCTCTAGTAATTGACACAATTGCTCACAATTACAAGGACAATTTGCTCACATGACGGCTAAATGATCATTGATGGGTCCGATCAGTAAGGTCAAAGTGGGGTCACAGAATACATCAAATCATCCTGTTCCACCAGCTTTTCCCTCACGCAGGTTGAGCTCCAGTGTGCATTATACTATCAGACCTCGTGTCACTGCGCACACGTGCACGCACACACATGCACACACACACACAGGAGCGTGTTTACCGAACCACACGTGGTCGCGTGGCGCAGAAACTCCGAGGCCAACAATACCCGCCATGTACCAGTCTCAATAAAGAGCGGCTTTGATGGTGGCTGCTGGGAGTTCCCGGGGGGGGGGGGGGAGGGTGCATACTGGGATACCTGGCGTCTCAACCCGGAAGTGGTGGTGGTGGCGGCGGCCACTGTGTGTGGAGTAATTTCGGGACTGGGGGGGGGGGGGGGGGGTCCATTCGGTCAGATTGAGTCAGAGAGAGTCGTCGGGGGTAAATTAGATAAATGCCTAAATAATCCATGATAAATTGTGAGTCGAGGGGCGGGGGGTGCAGAAATGGAGGGAAGCGGGGGGGTAAGTTGCCTCTCTGCAGGCCGTCATAAGTGAACCTTGTTCTCTGGCCTCTCGGCCCGGCGCACGACTAACAGTAGCTGTGTGTGTGTGCCGGGGCAGCAGCCCGGTAGTCCACTACCTTTCCATCCCCATCCAGCCCCCCCACCCGCACCCCACGCCGGCTTTTCCCCTCGCTGGTCAGGGGCTTGAAGAGGAGGAGCCAGAGAGATACCTGAAGAGGCGCCAACAAAGGGATTCGTGCGATACAGATGTTAACTCTGTGTGAGTGAAGATGCACAAGTGGTAACGCGCACAGTCCGAGATGCATTCAAGCGCCTCTGTCCCAAAATGTGGCCATGAGATGAGCAGACTAAGCAGAACGTCTCTGGACTCCTGCCTCACTTACAGCGCTATCCGTCATCTCACCCCGCTTTCCAAAAGAAAACAAACGGACCCCAAATGGTGGAACTATTGGTCTGAGACCACCTGCAGCGGGCAGTGGAAAGAATGGTCCTCCCTTTCATCAAGATAAACAGTGGTGGTTTTTGGTCGACTTGAAGGCAGACAGGGAGAGAGGAGGACAGACATGGACGTTACAGGGAGATCTTAAACTTAAACTTTGAGGAACCCAAAATGTTGCTGAAAATGGGATTTCTTTCCAGCGCCACGGCGGCCGGTGTTCTTTGGCTGCGATCGTCTAGACTTCTGGGGTCATCGTAACTGGAATTACACCAGTGTTTTCAGATCTTGTGTTTTATTTGACTTCTGGTTCCTCTCTCGTTCCTCCTAATGACACCACAACAAAGCCCCCCCGCGCGAGCTCAGCATAAATCAAAGTTCGGGCTTTTAACAGTTCATAAACAGGACGACGTCACAGTCACACGAAGGAACGAAAATACATTTAACACGCCGACTTGTCAAAGTGCGCGTCGGTTTCTCTCCCCCGTTTAACCCGGGTGACGCAGGCTCAAACACGCCGTGAGGCGACTGGAAGAAGACAAACACCCGCAGGTTCACACAAGCGGCCGATCCCTTCTGTTTTGCCGACTAAGATGTTTTCAGATGGGGTTTTTTGTTGTTGTTTCTAGCGGGTCGGCCTGTGAGCAGTTTTAGAAATTCTCTTTTCTGTTGCAAAAGTGCCAATTCTGCAAAATGAAGTCTCCAAAGGATAATTGGTGTGTTATAGACTTATTCCTCTTACTTAATATGAATAATAGTATATATATATATATATATATAGTAGTCTCTCTACAGAAATTAGATACAATGTACTTTGTGAAATATCACAAGAATATACATACGATATATCCTACATGCTGTTCATGTTTCAGATTTAGTATTTAATATATTCCTGATTATTTGCCACTGTTATACTTGTGTTTTCTAAACAGAATGATGAAGTCAAGACTCAGGATGCCAAAATAAACACTGAAATAACATTGATCAACCTCTCTGAGGTGCCATTTATTTCATATATCTTTTGCTACCGAATGTTTTTTTTCCCAACGGGAAAGGGAATCATTTCGGTTGACATGTAAACAAGCAGATATTCACGGTTGTCTGTCTCCTGCAGGGTTGGCTGCAGCAGTACGGCTACCTGCCTCCAGGTGATGTCCGAGCCCAGGCCATCCGCTCGCCAAAGTCCATCGAAACAGCCATTTCAGCCATGCAGAGGTTTTACGGTTTGACCGTCACCGGCTCCATAGACACCAACACGTTAGAGTGAGTCCTCGTCGATGTTTTTTGGGGCGGGTTTGGGGGTTCAAATCAATTGGAAAGTCTTTCAAGATCAGATTATTTGATGATTTACGGGTCGAGTTAAGATCAGTAAAGAATGGAATCAAATGATCGTCAGGGCGATGAACCGGCCGCGCTGTGGCGTCCCGGACAAGTTCGGCCCGCAGCTCAAAACCAACCTGAGGAGGAAGAGATACGCAATGCAAGGTCTGAAGTGGGAGAAGTCCGAGGTGACCTTCAGGTACACGCCCGCGCTGCCATTGTGAAGCACTAAGAAGCTTTTGTTTCGAAAGCTTCTCTACTGTGTTGCTGTGCGTGGGCCCTGAATGTCCGTCCTCTCCGTCCTCTCCGTCCTCTCCGCCAGCATCCAGAACTACACCCCGAAGATCGGAGAACAAGCCACGTACGAAGCCATCCGGAGAGCCTTCCGGGTGTGGGAGGCGGCGATCCCGCTGACCTTCCGGGAGATCCCCTTCAGCCACATCAGCGGCAAGGTCGACAAGTACGCCGACATCATGCTCTCGTTCGCGGAGGGTTTCCACGGCGACAGCACGCCGTTCGACGGCGAGGGCGGCTTCCTGGCTCACGCCTACTTCCCCGGACCCGGCATCGGCGGAGACACGCACTTTGACCTCGCCGAGCCCTGGACCACGGGGACCACCGACCAGGGGGGTGAGAGAGGGAGAAAACGAGCACGGGGTCACCAGGAAGTCCCGGGGCAGGAGTGAAAAACCAAGAAACCAACTGTTATCTCCCCCCTCTCTCTCTCTCTCTCTCTCTCTGAAGGAAATGATGTGTTCCTGGTGGCGGTTCACGAGCTGGGTCACGCTCTGGGCCTGGAGCACTCCGGCGACCCCTCTGCCATCATGGCCCCCTTCTACCAGTGGTTCGAGACCGAAAACTTCCAGCTGCCGTTCGACGACCGCAGAGGCATCCAGGCGATCTACGGTTGGTACTCCTCCTGCAGGACGAGGGCATTTATTGCTGCTAAAATTCCAGTTTCACTTTGTATCACAAACACACACACACACACACACACACACATATATATATATATATATGTGTATTTATAGTAGAGGTAGATGCTCCGTTGACATCCGGCTTCAGGTCTTAAACCAAACTATGCAATGAAAACATTTAGATTCTGACCCGTTGATGGCGTCATCTGATTGTTGCTGTGAGACGTTACTCATCTCAAACACCTCTCACCCTTCACCTCCCCCCGCAGGAACCAAGTCGGCGGCGCCGCCTCCTCCCCCACCTCCCCCGCCTCCCCCCCGACCCACGAAGCCGTCCACCCCCGACAACCTGCCGGACGTCTGCGGGGGACACTTTGACACCATCGCCATCCTCAGGGGGGAAATGTTTGTGTTCAAGGTACAGCGTCTTCTCAAGGCGTCAAGCGAGGCGTCTTCGACTTGGTTATTTGTCTAGTTAGTGACGACGTTAACGAGGCTTCCGTTGCAACGCGGCGCCACTAATCTTGTGTGTGTTTGCAGGACAAGTGGTTTTGGCGCGTGCGTAACAACAAGGTGTTGCCGGGTTACCCGATGACCATCAGTCACTTCTGGAAGGGCCTTCCCTCCAACATCAACGCCGCCTTCGAGAGGGACGACGGGAAATTTGTCTTCTTCAAAGGTACGAGGTCACCCCCGAGCTCAGATCGAGACCGGGTTGGCGATGGCCGAGTCCCCGCTGATCGCCTTCCTGTCGTCCCCAGGTGACAAGTATTGGGTTTTCAGCGAGGCCGTCATGGAAAAGGATTCTCCCAAGAGCCTGAGGGACATGGGCACCGGTCTACCCAAAGACAAGCTGGACGCCGCTCTGTTCTACACGCCGACAGGACAGACGTACTTCTTCAGAGGCAACAAGTGAGTCGCCCCTTGGTTTCACAGCACGCGTTTTTTTTGCAAACAATTTCTCTCTGATGAGAAGATTGATAGGAAGCCTGTCCTCATCTCAACGGACAAAAGGCCGGGGGCGCGTCCTCTATGGAACGAGTGTTCCTGCAGCGCTTGTGAATTGGATGGAATCCGCTTCCCTTTGTCCAAGCAGACGCTCGTGTAGTAACCTGTTGCTACTCTCACATCCCACATTTCAGCTCTCTGACTCACACTCTGTCGCTCCCTGCATGAATAAAAAAGAAACCACATTCCTAAAAAACACCAGCGAGGACATGAGCTTCGTTTCCCCCCCCCCTGTTGTGTGACTGTAACCCCCCCCCTGGAAGCTGTTTCCTCCGTGGATCTTTAATAGTTTTGTGCCTTGGTGTCTCTTCTGCAGGTACTACCGCTTCAACGAGAAGACTCGCACCGTGGACAGCGGCTACCCGAAGCCCATCAGCATGTGGACCGGCGCGCCGGATAACATCAAGGCCGCCATCATGAGCCAAGACGGATGTAAGTTAGAGACAGATGCAGGATGCTCCCGTCAAACCCGAAGGAACCAAGCAATCCGTTAATGGGGGTAACAAGCAGCAGCTTTGAATCTAAACTATTTATTTCCCTTCTCCTCAGCCTACACTTATTTCTACAAAGCCAACAAGTACTGGAAGTTCAACAACCAGCACATGAAGGTGGAGTCGGGCTACCCCAAGTCCGTGCTCACCGACTGGATGGGCTGCGAAGGCGAGGAGCCCAAGACGGTTCAGGAAGACGAGGCGTGGGGCGGGGCCGGCCCGGTTGCCGTGGTGATCCCTCTCCTCCTGCTGGTGCTGGTCGTGGTCACCCTGGGAGCGCTTTTGGTCTTCAGGAAGTACGGCACGCCTCGACGCCTCCTCTACTGCAAGAGATCCCTCCTGGACCAGGTGTAGACGGAGACGGAGGTGGGGCGTGGAGGGGGGCGGAGGAGGAAACTGAGAGGAGAAAGAAATGGAAGAGGAGGAGACGGCGACCGCAGAAATAATAATGGAGGATCGGAGGGGGAAATGGGAGGTGGGGGGGGGGCAGCAATGTGTTCAGTGTTGGGTGGTTTGTATGTGCCACAAAGGGGAGGGGGGGGAAATAAAGGCCCTAGCATATGAAATCAGGAAAATGTGTGTTTGTATGTTGGCTATTTACATAGAAAAGGGGAATATACAAAGAGACTCATCAATGAATCTCCTCTCTCGCATCCCAGGTGTTAAAATCAAACAACCCCCCCCTTTCCTTCCTTCCTTCCTCTCCTTTAACTGGACGACTCCAGCTGAACTGCCGTCTGATTCGTGCGTGAGATCGAGATCTGTCTTTCACTTTAGGTTTTACTCACAAATTCATCCTCTGTCAAAAAGCTTTTGATGGGGTTCAAAATGTATTCATTTTTTAAAGGGACTTTCTTGCTCTTGAATCCACTGTTTGGGCAAAGTTGTGATATTCGGCAATGTGGTATTTCTTTAAAAAAAAAAAAAAAAAGTACAGCAGCACCAGTACCTTTTGAACCGTGTCAGTATAGATTGATGCAGCTTTTTAGACATGCATTAATAGGATTAGTAATACGTATTTGTTTATCCAGCAAGTCAGACTCCAGAGGGGATTTTCTTCCTCGATCGCGTCCTTGCAGACAAGAATCCTTCTTTTAGGTGTTTTAACCGCAACTTGATTCACAAGCATTACTCATCCTTCAGTGCAAGCAGTCAGACGGGACAAAGATTATTCTTAAAAACGTGACGTTTTAACTCAGTTTTCATACATTCCAGTACATTTTGTTGTTGACCAATAGGAGCAGAGCTGCTGGTCCAAAATGCGTCAGTAAGCGGTACATTATAGTGCAATCTTTAATTATTATTGTTTTTATGGTAAATTGTTGTTATTATAAGTATGGTTATTGTTATTATTGTTCTCCTGGTAAAGTAATAGGGACTTTTTTGTTTTGTTTTGTTGCTTTTGTTGATTGTCATTGGGAGTCCTGCTGGACAGAGGCGTAACGTGACAACGATGGGGACGGATCCCAGTTTGCACTCAGCATGTGATGGATTCCATCAGGGGGCTGAACGTGAGTACGGGTGGTTTCTTTTTACTCACCTGGAACCACTGAGACGTCGGCGCAGAATAACAAGCGATGCTATTTATGGACTTTGAGGGTTTGATGGTGCTGAATGATTTTTTTCCTTCTTTTTTGAGGCGGATTCATTTAGGTAATAACAATGATAATGGTAATGATATTTATAATGATGATCATATCAATAAAATGGAATGAGATTTTTTTTTCTTGCCTGTTTTCGCTTTTGTATTTCATTGGGTAAAAAAAAAAACTACACAACCTCAAAAAACTGCAATTTTAGAAATAGAAGACTTTTCATTTATGCAATGTCTGTAGTTTCTTGGAATCCTGCTTCCATTTTCGATTTGAATTAAGTGAGTTTACCAACCAAACTACTCTGTGATTTATGACGCACTTTGACAGCTTTTATCCCAAAACAACTACGGTTGCGTGCTTAAATGTGTGCTCGCTGTCACTCCCATTTCTTTCCCAAATGGAGCTGATGAAATCGTCTGGACCACTTTGAGCTCGTTTGGGATGATTTCATCACTCCGGCTCGTTTCCTTTCAGCCTGAGCTGCTGCGAGATTGGCAGTCTTAGATGAGCCTTCCTCTTTTTCCGTTCCGTCCTGCTCTGCGTGGACGATGATGTCGGTCCGTGGAGATGAGTTCACGCCGAGTGGTTTCCATTCACCAACAGGGCAATCGGTTATTAAGAAGCAAAAACAAAGACAAAGGGAGGAGACAAAGACTGGATGCGGCTCCTCCGTCGCTGGTTGTTTTGGACGTTGAGTCAGCAGCACGAGTCGGAAAGAGTGAGAGAACGCTCACATGCTTCAGAGGAGCTCTTGCCAACTGAACATCTGGTACTCTGGAGACATCTGTGTGTGTGTGTGTGTGTGCGCAAGTTTCAGATTATACGCCGTTTATTATAAAATTGTGTGAAAAGGAAAAGAAAAGAGAGGCCAGTCAAACTAAAGTTATTTCACAGGTTTGGGGATATTTTCCTCCCTCCATCTCTCCTATTTCCTCACCCGCTGCAGAGAAATTGCCCTTTTTATGAGGCTTCGGCCTCAAACCACAAGTATCTCTGGTCTGTTTTTGCTCTCTTTCTCCCCCCGAGCTCTCTTTATTTAACTCTTCACAATCAGTCCGCGTCGGCCGTAAACGTCAACAGGATCACAGCAAACAAACGTCTTAACTGCAGTTGAACATTACTTTCATGGATTTACATTAGCGTGTAAAAAGAGCCTTGTGGAGCATCCATCCAGTCGGGCGAGACACGTTGTAGAAGATGCTGCTGATCGTTGGAAGGGAAATAAATGGAGCACAAATTTCTCCCTTGACTTTGTCTGCCATGGATCTGCTCTCCGTCATGAACGCAGATGAGACCTTTGTCGGCTTCTTCCTCTCTTTCTCCCCCCATCTTACCCCCCCACCCGTACTCTCTTTCCCTCTCTCAGCTATTTTACAGTTGAACTCGTAGATCCCGGAACAACCGTCCAGCTCAGCACTTCTTCGTCCGTGCCAGGCAGGAAGCGGCCGGGACGGCTGCTTGTAATTCCACCTTGAGCTTTGTTTGGGTGACCCACATTATGGCAACATTTACTTTCCCCTGTAACGCTTTTCTAGTTGTGCCCGCAGTGCTGGAAGGGACAAATGTTACACAATATTTGCCTGGTTTGGAATAAATGTTACATTAGAAACACATGCTTGTAAAAAAATTTAAAAAACTCTTTTAACTACTTGAATTATGAGGTAAAACAATCAGTCTTGAAGCCAAAATATACTAATTTGGTTTTCTAATAAAAGCAAATAAATACCAAAAGTACAAAGGAAGCCACGAGGTTTACTTTACAACAAGCAACAAACAAAGATAATTGTAGTCTTCAGCACCAGTTCTCATACAGTCATGCACCCTGAGGGTCCCTGAACCAGACCCCCCCCCCCCCCCCCCTGTCCTCCGGGCCGGCACCGGGGCCGATGCTCACCCCCCCCCCCCCCCCCCTCCCTCCCTTACTCCAGTCCTATCAGCCAGGAAGCCGTCCCTCGTTTCTGGTCTGCGGGTGAAACTACAGATCCAGCCACGTCTCCATCACTCTTCGCCCTCCGTCCCAGGCAGACTGACCTCAACTAGCGCCGCCCCCCCCCCCCCATCCCGCCCCCAAAAGCACTCTTCTGCTGCTGACTTCTGCACAATAAGCAACATCTGGTTCTCGTTTCCCAAAAAAACAAAACAACACGAGGAGGAAAGGAGGAGGAGAGGTTGCTGAGGAGAAGAAAATTCACGGGAAAGCAGGATGTGAAAAAAAAAAAATATATATATATATATATATATACACACACACATGGCTGCTTCAAGAGAAAGAATGAGGAGTCACATTTCTCACTGCTGGTTCATCTGGGAGGTCTTTGATGGTGCAGGTGAGAGGATGTGCGTGCCAATGCAAGAATGTTGCCATGCCAACCACTTTTAACAGCCCATTTTCTGTGTGCCTCCGACGCCTCCTGCGGCCTGTCAGCTTGTTTGGTCAACTGTACGAAGAAGTGAAGACAAGGAGAGCAAGGGTGGGAAGGGGGGGGGGGGAGAGAAAACTCCCATCTCCACAGAAAAGAATCTGCAACTCAGCGGCCCTAATTACAGAGGCGCTTTGCTGAAGTCTGCACCGAGACAAAGAGGGAGAGGAGAGGCAGATGTGGGGGAGAGAAAGGGAGCAGAGAGGGTTACCTCATGTAAATACTTGTAAGTCAGAAGTCACACAAAATCAGCGCTGACTTTACAAAAGGCACAGCTGGTAAGAGTCTCTCTGCGTAATCTCCCTTCACACCTTAAGCGCATGCGACAAAACGTTCTGATTTATTGTGGTAATACTGTCCTTTTCTTTTAAGAGGTCTATGATTCTAAGAAGTTTAAGGAAACACAAGGAACTGGAATCAGGCTTCATTCTTCGCAGCTGATGTGTGTTTTCTGCTTTTTAAATCAACGGACACTGAAGACAAGCGTTTCTGCAGCCGGATCTAAACTACTGAGCTTAAAATTTGAGCTGATACCAGAAAATGTCACATTCTGTGGGATGTAACTTGGCTGCAGGGAAGCCTAATCATCTTTCCAGACACCAGGCTGCAGGAAAAACACATTCAAAAATCAGACTTTTTTTCCCCCCCTCTTTGTTGGTATTGAAGCCCAATGAAAAATAGATCTTTAAATGAGTCACAAGCACAAAAGTTTGCTGTGAACGGCCGTGTTCTGTCACGCTTCAATTACTTGTTATCCTAGAACACATTCGGCTTCACTCTCGCTAATAAAATCACGCAAACTGTCCATTATTCTGTTGGTGAAGTCGCATTCTGTTCTATTGGCCCTTAACTTAAACTGAACTAAGCCCCTTTTCACAGAGGTGGTCTGGAGTGAACATTCGTCATGTGTTTTGAGTATTAACATTGAGTTACAACAGCGTGCCAAAGTGCAAACTCTCCCTCTCTCTAAACACACACATGGTCAAACACAGCAGATCCTGAATCAGAGCTACTTTATGTTAGCTAGCGCCTCCCTTCCTCCGCCTGCCTGAAAACAAGTAAAAAAGAACTCCTCTCTGAGCCCCACTCAGGACAAAATGGCGTTGGAGCGTCACGCTGCCTCGCAGGAGGAGAAATGCTGCATTCTAGTGGAAGCTGAGAGACATTAACTCTCAATGATACCAGTGAAATGACCGAGGCAACAAATCCATTATAACTGATTATTGTTTAAAGTATAAATCACAATATTTAATGCAGAAATCCATGAAAAAAACAACATTTCAAAGCAGAAGGAAAGCCATAAAACCTCATAAATATATTCAGTGAATCAGAACGATTTCATGTCTTAACTTTTACATTTTTTTCTTCATCAACAACTTCCCTTTAGCTTTGAGTAAGAGAGACTTTTTGTGCTCCTCCAGGCGTTTGGCTTCCTCCAGCTTTTCACTCCACGCCTCCATCCCTTTGTCCACCTCCGAGTTCAGCATCACGATGCGTCTCTGTGAGAAGGAGCGCCGTGGTTACGGCCAAAAGCATACGAGAAGGACAGATAGACGAGAAGAATTTACGTTTAAGTATGGAAGAAAAAGGTAGACAAGGTGTTGATACTCACTGCCAAAACTTCCCTCTCTTGCTTTCTTCTCAGCTGTCCTTTCAACGGAGGTGCTGGTCTCCCGTCTGTCCAGTTCCACAAACATTCAAAAAGAAATTACAATAACATATAACAAGCAGAATTTTAACAATTCCTGCTCCTTATGCGAGCTATAAATGTGTACTTTGTTGCTCGAAAATACCTCCTAATAAAAAAAAACGTACAGAGGGCAAATAAACAATACCTGCAAACGACCAATCAGGCAGATCTGTCAGAGGGCCGTATTCTGTGCCACTTCGGGCAAGTCCATGTCTGCAAGCACACACATATACCTTACAAAATGTAGAAACAGAACGACAGGACTTGTGCTGCCAAGTTATTTTGGCTGTAGCTGTAAATACGGGCTCAAGCACGGCATCTGAGTCGCTCTTGCCGTTGCCATGGTGACCGCGCTGCACTGTCTAAGACACCGGGGGTAAACAATGGCTGGATGTGCATGTAACAGGTCTCAAAAATACCACACGTGTTTCTTGACGGCAGAAAAAATACCCACAATGCACATAGGGTTAAGTTTTCACTTTCACATGTTTTACTGCCCCCCATTGTCCTCCGGTGACTCGAGCAGTAATCCAACACAAAGCCTTTAAAAAGGCTCCACACGTCTCCTGTATGCAGGAGTGCTTCCCAACACCTCACTTTGGTGTGGAAATCGGAAGTGTTGCTCTTAAAAGGATCTCTTCTCTTGTTAGTTGGCAAGTGGCTGTCAACGGAATTTCAATTACATCAGGATTGCAAATGAACTTGACACAATCGCCGGTGCCTCCTCGGTGATCACCACCAGCACACTGACCCGTTGTCAATAAATAGTCACTTTTACATGGAATGAAATACTTTAAAAAGGCAGCGGACTTACTCTTTCCTCCATTTCTCCCCAGCTTGGACCCCCCGCGTTGTGCTGAACTGCCTGCTGGAGAGCCTCAACACTGGAAGACACCACAAACCGAAACACGGCCTCTGAAGAACACTCCCGTGGTACAGATAACGACCCCGATGGAACCACTACAAACACACGCCTCTCTAACACCCGGCTGAATTAACCCCGAACAAAACAAATGCAGCTTTTCAGAGGAGTTTGAGTGACCGCTGTTAGCGTCCTCGTTAGCATCCCCAGCGCTTACTGCGTTTACGGAGGTTTATTTGCGCAGGCAGCTGCGTATAAAGCAGCGACTACGTACGAGGAGATATTTACAGCAACGGATATTGACTTTACGAGTTTTCGCGGGTCTCGCGAACGTTATTTTCCGTGAGTAACCTCTGTCTCACCTGAACTGCACAGTGTCCTCATGGGGGCCGCCATGTTGTCTGCGCTGCACCGCGCCGGCCACCAGGTGGTGCTGAAGCTGCGCCGACACGGTTGTCCTTTGTCACTATTTACTGCGTGAAAAGTGGGTTGTTTAATTCAAAGTAAATAAATAAGAGAAAAGCTCAAAACGACAATGTATATATTCTTTTTTTTACATTGATTTTGTTAGGTTAACCTGTGATTAAATATTTAAACTGCCCTGCTTCGCTGTTACAACGAAGGACGCGTGTGCTTATCACCTGCATTAGCCTCTGGTTTAAAGGAGGGAATCAATTAGATATTTCATTAACGCATTAAGGAGCACTGACTACACGTCGCAATCAGGTGACTCGTCACGAGGGGACGTTTTCAGCCAGGAGTTGAAACACGTCCCCTGAGGCTGTGGGTGAGCTTTGTGAAGTCTGAAGACAATACGTCTGGTGATGTCACAGTGGTGTCATTGGGTCTCTAACACATTTAAACAACGTGATTATTACGACTTGTATAACCCCAAGGGAAGAAAAATATTTTCTTTTCTCTCCTCTCTCGTTTCATTCCGATTCCTCCCGTGACTTACACGGGGCCTGGAGTCGCAGCTGGGGGACATAAGTGCAGACAGAGCTGCAGCTCTTCAAAGTATTGTTTTTGTATGAAGTGCTCCGCCACTAAGCCCAGAAGAATTTCTCTGTTAGCTTTGCAGGCAAGTTCCCACTCGCAGCCTGGGAGTCCGCTGCAGGGACTCCGGTGAACCGCAGGGGCCACGAAAGGCTCCTGTGCGCGCGTGTGTGTGTGTTTGTGTGCGCGTATACCTGTGTGTGTGTGTGTGTGTATGTATGTATTTCGGGGACCAAAACACAGTTACTTTAACAGGGCTTGTTGTGTTTATGTGTGTCCACTAACGGCCACAAACGCCGGCCGGTCGAGCGCCAGCAGCCGGGTGTTTACTCTGGAGTCTTCCTTGGAGAACTCTGGCACGCCGGAAAAATTCAGCCGCCGCCGCCTCACGCCTCCGTGTCCGTGTCCGTGCGCACATTCCACAGGCTGGTGGAAAGTAGAGCCGTTGCCCGAACAACGCGGTTTTAAATGAGTTGATGTGTAACGTGTAGAGAAACGGTGCTTACTAAGTGTTTAAAAAAAAACACGAATGTGGAGGCAGAGTCTGCATATTTATTTTAACTAAAAGTAGTGCCATTTAGATTTGCCGTTAGATTATACTCCATTAGAAATAAAAGGGATGCATTTTAATGTTATTATGTCTTATTGTGTTTCTTTTCGACATGGAGCTGATTACAATAAATGTATATATCCTTGGCAGATTAATCTTTATTGTTGTATTTATTTAATAATAATATGTAATGCTTTATATGGAATATCTTAATGTGTAAATTCAGTGAAAAGTGGACATTTCTTTCTTACACGTGCAGATTAGATAAGTACCATAAAAGGAAAATATTCATGTAAAGTTGTACTCACAGGTTATATAGCCACTAAGGTTTATTGCACTAAGGACATAAAGATGTGTGGTTTTGATTGAGAGGCCAGGGTTACTGTAACAGGAGGAAAAACAAAATAATGACATTTTCTGAAAACAGAACTGTTTACAGCGGTGGTTTTGTCTCAGTGGTCAGTGGGGCGTTTGAAGTCGTGCCAAACCACGGCCACATGGGTCCTACCCAGTGCACGGTCATAATAGAAACGAAACTAACAGTTAAAAAGCTTTTACAACCATTGAGGTATCGAGTCAAAAAGCTTCCCCCTGTTCACCGCGGTCCAGATCATCCTTTAACCAAACACCAATTGAAAAAGTCACATTTTTCCTCCCTTAAATTTAATTGTGAAGACCTCTGAGTTAAAACAGAGCTATTAATAATCTGTACTTTTATTAGTTTTCTTTTTATGTCCGATTTCATAGTCATAAAGAGAACGTTTCTCCCACCACACCCACTGAAAACCTTTTAAAATATATTCTTTACCTGGACCGTCTTAAGTAAAATGAGGTACTCGTATACTGTACTTGAATATTTCCATGTTGTGCTACTTTTACTCGTTGCTATTAGTAGTTTTAAACCATTTCTGCTATACTAACTTCTGCTGGGGAACCCTACAAATAAGACATGACCTAAGTGTTTAGCTAAGACATTAGCGTGGGAAGTCTCCATTTACAAAGCTGGAAATATCTATTTTGGCTTGACCATTAACTCAAGATCCTGTCGCTGGAAGCTTCTGGGGAGGAGAGTGGACAATGGGTTATTTCTTCCCCAGATGCTCAAAACTAAACATTAACACACACACACACACTATTATTCGCATCGCTATTTCGTACAAAAGAGCAGTTCTTTGGGAAGTGTGCTCATCCTCAGAGGGCAGTTGTGCGTATGAATGACGAAGCGGTCATGGCTGGTGAAAAGGTGTTCCGGCCCTTGTGGGGGGAAAAACGAGCCGCCGCTCACCGATAAAGCGGCAGTGACGCGTCAAGCTGCGCGAGCAGGCGGAACGCGGAGTAACGGTCACCTTCAGAGTAAAAGCGGAGGGCAAATTGAAAACATGCCTGTGAGTTTCCAGCTGTAAAACTGTGTTTAAAAAAAATATCAAACACGAATGTGAACTTAGATGTGAAGCGAAACCAAAGCGGTACCACGAACCATTTGCGAGTGTGTTATCTTTACAGAGCAGTTGCCAATTACGAGTTTATTTTGAAAGGTGAAACCGGAACTGTCTCTCTAATCCTTTGCTAGATTGACGGTCGTGCAAAAAAATAAAGAGGGGGGAGGTAAGTAATTATTTAGGGGCAAGGAAGAAAGACAAAGTTGTCGACCGTGCGATGCACACGGGGAGGGATTGTATTTATCTCGAGCGACTCGTTTAGTCCAGCACCGGTCCGCCGGGGTGTACCTGTAACGGCTCCCCCCTCATTTCCTCCTCTCTCCCCACCGACTCCTCCGCTAACAACTCCTCCGAGTCCCGGGACAGGACTTTTTTTTTCTCCTCTTTTTTTTCCACATTCTCCTTTTGAATGACGTGGATTTAGGCTTCCGTGCGATAACGAGTGAACTGAGGAGCCTCGACGAGTACCGTTCGTATTCTTCTCTGTTGTGTTTTAAGTTTTTCTCCCCCCCCCTCTGCCCCCCCACCAACCACCACCTCCTCCTCCTCCACCACCTCCTCACGAACACGTTTCTCCCGGAGATGAACGGCAGAAGTCCGGTGAGTCCCGTCTCCGTCTCCACCGGAGCCTCGCGGAGCGGCGGCAGCTGCTAGCCCGCCGACCCCCCCCCCCCCCCCCGCTTTGTGCTGTTAAATACATCCGAAACAAAAGGGAAATTCAAACGAAGGACCCCCCCCCCCCCACACACACACACACACACACACACACAGCGCACTGGATCGCCAAGACATCAAAGTGACTTTGCCGGGCGGTTTAACTCGCGCAGAAGATGCAGATGTGGAGCCACACGAGGGTCCGCGGGGGAGGCCCCGTAGCTCGACCATAGGTCCCGCCGGAGTGTCCCCGGGGGACGCCCGTCCCGCCGCGCTGACTCGCAGCCCGTCGCGGTAACTTTGATCGTTCGTTAATCGCGATGGATTCTTCTTCTTCTTCTTCGCCGCAGCCCGCGTGCGCCGGCGGAAGAGCCACATGAAGAGAACCCGGATGACTCGTAGGACTTAAGAAGCCATGCAACCACCCTGAAATGTCTTAAAAGTCTTATTTATCTCGTTTGTATTTATTGAGTGTAATTATACGTGAGGGTCTTTTTGTTTCCCAGTTTCATCTGTTGTAGTGAAAACTAGATGTAGTTCTGCTGTGTATCTTCCCACACTGTATTTAAACACCTTTAATCTGTCATTTAAAGGGGAGGTCTTGAGGGGGGGGGCAGCTGTTGTTGGACTTTGACTCTGCCTGGACAGGTACCGACCGGAGGAGGCCTCATCATGGACCGGCCAATCAGCAAGTTATTGGAGAAGTTAAAGCTGACCGACTCGGGCAGCGCGAAATTCAACAGCTCAAAGAAGAAACACGACTCCAATAACCGCAACGCCAACACCGGCACCACCGGAGGAGGAGGAGGAGGCGGTGGGGGGGGCAGCGGGTTGCCACTGGCTCCCGGCTCCGTCTCCTCACCCTCAAGACCTGGCTCGTTCTCGCTCCCCTCCGCAGCCACAAGCGATGCATGTGTTCCAGGGAGAGGGGGAGGGATGACCCCCTCTCAGCTCCTCACCCCGTCACCGTCGTCCTCCTCGGTGGGCGGCGTGCCCCAGGACGGCGAGCAAGCCCTCCACCCTTCCACCATGGCGCCGCTCAGGCGCCGCTCCCCCCAGCAGCGGGCTTCCTGCTACCTGGGCGACGGCGTGGACTCCCACCTGAGGCGCGAGTCCGGCCTGGGGCCCGAGTGCGACGCCGCGGGGGCCTTCGGCTCCAAGGCGTCCCTCGGTCAGCGGCGCTACTCCTTGGAGCTCCAGCAGCTGGTCAAGCGGCAGCAGCTCCTCTCTCAGCCGCCGGCGCTCTCCGTCCCCCCGCCGTACCCGGGTCCCCGGGGCGGCCCGGCCGAGTCCGGCTACCTCTCCGAGCACGAGCGGCACAAGCGCCTCTCCCTCCAGGAGGCTCTGTTCTACAAGCGCCTGAGCACGGGCGGTGAACTGTGGGAGACCCCCAGGCCCGCGTCCCTCTCTCACCCGCCGCATCGCACGTCCGACGTGACCGGGGGAGGCGTCGGGGGGGGCTTCTTTTATCCCCCGGGACCTACCTTGAGCCCGTGCTCGTCGTTCAGCCTCCAGGAGTCGGTGCTGGTCAGCCCCCGGTCCAGCTTCGCCTCCAGCACGGCCAGCGGCGGCGGCGGTGGAAGCCCCATGGGGAGCCGCTGCAGCAGCAACCGGACCAGCGGCATCAGCCTGGGCTACGACTCCCGCTACTCGGCCTCGGGGGGGCTCCCGCCACAGCAGCAGTGCCCCTCCATGCAGACAGGGGGCTCTATGGCCGGGTACGGAGGTCTGGGCAGGCCAGCGGTGACCCCCGTGGAGGCCTGGACCCAGTACCTGGATGGAGGGATGCGTCCGGGGGCCCACGATAGCCGACACTCCTACCCGCCCGCCGTGGGGAGCCCGGGGGCGGCGTGCTACCAGGCCGGCCCCGAGTGGTGGGTGGAGCAGCAGGCGGGAGTGCGAGGCAAAGACGGGGTCGTGGTGGGAGACCGGACCAGATACTCGGACCTGCCCGGCACCCGCTACCAGGAGGAGCTGACCCGACTCCTCCTGAGAGACGCGGCGCTGGCGGGCGGGGGGCTCCTGGAGGGCCTGATGCTGAAGGAGCAGTCTCTGGCCCTGACGGCGCTCTCCAAACCCACCACGACAACGCTGGGGCCTTGCTCGGCGGGGGGGCTGCTGAAACCCCAGGAGGAGCCAGGAGCCGGCGCCGGGAGGGAGGCCGCCGAGAACCGCCAGGAATTCTTTGGTGAGATACCTCCCTTTTTTCAAAAGAAATCTTTTATTTTTCTAACCCGCAGGTGTTCAGCGTACACGTGGAAGGGGGGGTAGGTAGGGAGGACCACCGCCAAATCACGTCCCTCCTCTGAGCCGCCGCAGTCGCTGTTCATAACGGAGCGCCGGCTCATCCGCCCTCGGTGTGTCATTACGGTTCCCGCTCGCCGCCCGGTGTCAGATCACAGGCTCCTCTCTCAATGAGAGGGCTGCATGGATGGATGCACAGATTAATAGTTGAAAGCGTGTGTGGAAGCGTGGAACCTGCAGGGACATGCGGCGCTGTAACACGCGAAGCATGAAGAGAGGGAGAAGGGAGAGAGAAAAAAACCACGAACCGTCCCAGACAAGTAGATATGAAGGAAAACCCCCAAAATGTGTACGTTCACGTTCGCACCTGTAAGGCCGACGTTTCAGGCAGCACGTGGGGCGGCCATTAAACTGAAAAAGGCCGTAACACACACACACACACACACACACACACACACACACGACACAGGTCCGTATAAACAACACTTGCCGTTACTGCAAGTCACAGCAGATTAGGGCTCAGGATCTGTGTGTGTGTGTGTGTGTGTGTCTCTATGTGGCAGGGTGTGTCACCCCCACCTCGAGTGACTTCAGGCCACAGTAACGCAGTGTGTGTGTGTGTGTGTGAGTCACGTGTGCGTCCTGGTGTGCGTAATGCTGCCTTGGCGTGTGCAGGGGCGTTGTGCTGGAGCCTGTTTTCTCCGCTCAGGTATGCGCGCCCGCAGGCGACATTCAACACGGTTGCTCCTCCGCCATCAGGGGCCAAATCAGCAGCTCCGAGGCGCGAAGACCGCCGCGCTCAGCAGACTCGCCGATGGGGCGAGGGGGGGGGTGATCGGATTAAAGGAAGTAAAAAAGTAGCTGTTAATGACTTCCGTTCACATTGCGATGTTTATAACAGAAAAAGACGACAGATGTGTAAACATTTAATTCTCATCCTTCTTTGGTTGGATTTTAGGGTTTTAATTTCTTTTCATCTTTTATCCCAACGTACAGCCGATGCAAAGCCCGGAGTTTGAGTCTTGTTCCTAAATACCCAAAGGACTGCCCGGGAGTGTAGGAATCCTCCATTTCTGTGGCACTCCCTCAGCCACATTAGAACGGGGGGGGGGAACGCAGGCGGATTCCCGAAATAGATCACAGAACCGCCGGCACTCGGACCGACACACGCCACTTTTCCACTTTGCGTTGGGTGGGCTGAGCCGGACGGGTACTTAGACTAAACTGCGTTCTGTTAGATGACAAACGCAGCGAGACGCCGGTTGGCTTTTGCTTCTTGTTTTCTTAATCGTGGAGCGGTTTGTCTTTTAAAGTGTGTTGATTTTTGACAGGTTTTATATATCTGACACTAAAATAAAAAAAAAAGGAGCTACGGTGGCCAGAAAGTGACAATTACGCACGTTAGACGCTGATTTTCTTTTTGGGCTGGAAGGAAGGAGCAAAAGTGATGATGTGGGTGAAAAGCTATCGAGTTTCCTGGGGCAGTTAAAGCCTCTTCAAAAAAAAAAGAAAATCGTCATTTAATCTCCAAATGGCTCAAATTGTGGGGTTTGAAGCCAAATTCAAAAGGAAGTCTTATTTTCTGGAACGTCAAAAAGAAGAAAGCAGCTCCGGTGGAGTTTCCCTTTAATAACAGAGCTCCGTAACGCGCCTTTTAACTGCGTGAAAATCCCCCCCCACCCCCCCGGTGGCTGCGAACGAGCGGCTTTACGGCTGTTGACACTTTGCGTGGCGTTTTGGATTTCAGGCGCATCCCCCCCCCCCCCACCCCCCTCCCGAGTGCGTCGTAAAACAAAGTGTCGAGCGCCGCCACTCTCCTGCGGCTAAACGCACGTCTGTTCTCTCCTGTGCGGCGGCAGGAACCTGCGTGAAGTGCGGGAAAGGCGTGTACGGGGCGGATAACGCCTGCCAGGCCCTGAAGAGCCTCTATCACACACGCTGCTTCACCTGCGTGTCCTGTGGTGAGTAACCCCCCCCCCCAACACACACACACACACACACACAACAGGGATTTAATCCCAATGAATTTCTGTCCCCTTTTCATCCTGCCGAGTCAAACATCCCCCCCCCTCTCTCTCTTCTTTAGGACGCACGCTGAGAAACAAGGACTTCTACAATGTCAGCGGCTCTGTGTACTGTAAAGAGGATTACATGGTGAGGGACGGGGTCGAGAGGCGGGGGTGTCGCACACCGGGAGCCGGGGGGGGGGGTGGGGGGTTGATTTACGTCTAACGGTGATCTTCTTTTGTTGTAATTACAGTTTTCGGGATTCCAGGCTGCTGCTGAGAAGTGTAGTGTGTGTGGCCACCTCATTCTGGAACAGGTGAGGGGGGGGGGGGACGGCGGGGTGGGGGGGGTGAACATGCTAGGTGAAGACGTGCACAAACACCTCTCAATACTTGAGACTTAAGGTAGATTTAAAGATAATTGACTTCACCCTCAACCTGCCCAGTGAGTCGCTTTAGTTGCATCCTGTGTGTTTCCCAGAATGTTTTTAAGACCCCCCCCCCCCCCTTGAGGACGCAGAAATCCCGTGACGTCTTTTCATTGGCTCCTCTTCGGGTTCCCACGGCAGATTTTAAGTGGAATGTTTGCCTTTTTCGGGGGAGGGACATGGCTCTGTCGTGATTAGCTTCAAACTTTTTGCCATATTTGTACCACATCAGACACACAACATAAATAGTGTGAGAACCTCGGGCATCATTTTTTCCCGACTTGACGACCTTTTAATGCATCGTAGCTGGGTGGGGGACGTTTTCTACGGCCCTGTGAAAGAATAACAAGTTTATGCTCATATCTTCTGGTCTAAAAGAAAAGAATGTTGGTGGGACCGTGCAGCCGTATCATTAAAATAACAGGAACTTATTTATACGCTGCTCCGTGAAAGGAATCTCATTTAGTTTGGATGCAAAGGCATTTTGCAACTTTCAGAAAACGTGTATAAAATATAGACCGTTAAAAGAAGCAACCCAAGAACAATAATTCACATACTGTTGGAGAATCGACTTATTACATTTAACAGAAATCTGATTGCAATCAAAGGAGCTAATCGCGCACTTAGCCTGCACGTCTGCATACCTGCGGCTAAAACCCCGCCGCTCATCAGGGAGAACCAGATAAGTGCTGCTTTTCTCATGACTTAAATAAGTGCCGGCGGTCCCCTCTCAGATCCTGCAGGCTCTCGGGAACTCGTACCATCCGGGCTGCTTCCGCTGCGTGGTTTGCTCAAAGGCTCTGGACGGGGTGCCGTTCACCGTGGACCAACACAGCAACATCTACTGCGTGACGGACTACAACAAGTGAGGCGCTTTGTTTAGACGGAGGATCTGTGCTTCTGTCCTGTTTCACAGGGATGTTTAGCTTTCACAGTTTAAAACCTGAAGAATGTCTTTGCTTTACTCGTCCTTTGTGACTCAACTGCTGCTGTTTTTTTTTTTTTTTTTTTTCCACCACTAAAATAAACTCTCTCCCGGCGCTCTGCAGGACTTTTGCCCCGAAGTGCGCCGCTTGTTTGCAGCCCATCTTACCGACCGAGGTGACCAGCGAGACGCGCGTCTTGTGTTCTAATTCTCAGATTGTCTCACGTAACGAGACTGCCCCCCCCCCGGAAATAAAATAGATCTATATTTTGTGTCTCAGGACAGTGAAGAGATCCTGCGCGTGGTGTCTATGAACAAGGACTACCACTTTGAGTGCTACCACTGTGAGGTGAGCAATCATGAGCGCAAGGTTTCCTGACCTCACTTCCTCGGTGTGCATTCCTGTCCTTATCTGCCTCTTTTTGTCCCTTCCCTCCCCTCCCAGGAGTGTGGTAAACAGCTCTCTGATAAGCCCGGCTCGCAGTGCTTCCCTCTGGACTCTCATCTCCTCTGCCACTCCTGTCATATGAGCAGAGCGTGCACCGCACACACCGGCCCCCACAACGCACACTGACGTGCAGCGATGGTGTTTTGTGTAAAAGCCGGTCTTAACTCTCCCGTGTGCTTTTTCCTCGGTCGTACGATGAAACTGCTGATCAGACATTTCGCTTCTTTTGTCTCCTGTACTGCCTGCTGTACTTCTTGTACTATTACTGTATCATAGTTATAAGGGAACGGAAAAGAAACTACTGCTTTTTATTTTTTTTTACCCCAAACTGGCTACTGTTTGCTGTAGAAGAACAAGGGATTTTGCTAAACTGTTTTGTAAATATATTATCGCTAGCAAACATTTTGCACTTAATTTTGACTTTACTGTAAGAGATTTGTAACATGAAGCTGTACAATTTGGGGGACCATTACTGTAATTTCTGTATGTCGTAATAAATATTCATTTGTGTTGAGACAAATTGATACATGAATAACCTTCAAATATACTCAATGATAACGCCCAGCAGAGAAGCTGATAACCAATTTAAATTTATTCATTTTTTTTAAATTCTCAGTACATTCAGCACTTGCAAGAAGGGAAAAAGCAACATCTTAACTAAAAGCATGAAATTAAAAATATTAAAATTGTAACCTGCTCTATTAGAAGGTCAATGTTTTATTTGTACCTCCTCTTAAATATGTGATTGAGGGGGGCAGAGGAGGGATTTTCAAACTGAGACTTCAGTGCAGGGAAGGTCAGTTTCCTGTAATTAGTACAGCATAAACCACTTTACAAGAATGTCACATCCTCTCCTTCCCGACTCCCAAAAAACATCCACGAAAGACCAACTCGGCCATGTGCCCCGAATCGCCACGACACACGTCTCTTCCTATCACACACGTTTCTAAGTTACAGTGTTGAGACTAACAGTTGCATCTTTGTGGGCAGGAGAGAGAGAGAGAGAGATGAAGGTTATTACTCACAAAAACATCACCTGGAGTAACACAGAACATGCCTCCAAGGCTGGACAAGAAAATCAGCCCTATTCATAAAATTTAAAACAAAGGCCTCTATGACGAGGTCAATCTTAGTCGTACGGAAACAGAAAAGAAAAAAGAATTCTCAGTGCTGACGAGAACACTAAACCGATCCTTGTAAATATTTGAAGGTCGGGGATCTATTTTGGACTGGTTTTTATTACAGGGCTCTGAGGAGGAAGGAACTGTGCGCCCACAGAACTAAAATAAAGAGGCGGCCTCCCAAACCTCAGCGGGACAAAATGCTGAGGCGAGCCTGAAAAAAACAACAACCCCGCCATCCCCTCTCGCTTCTTTTCTTTAAACGGCACTACAGAGACGAGGAGGGAAAGGACCGACTTCCTGTTCCAGAAGACAGACAGACAAACAGGAGAGTGGCGATAGGAGCGAGATACGCCGCCGCCGCCTGGCGACCGACTGGACGCCCACGAGGGGGAGAAGGGGGGTTGGGTGTTTAAATGGCAGAAGTGTGTGGAAGACAACGCTGGCGTCGAGGGCGGACGAACTGAAGCACGGCGAGGCGGGCGGCGAAGAGCAGACACGAGTCCTGAGCTGGCGGTCGGAGTAAAGCATCCCCGCGTGGGGACACTGCGTCCCAAGACTTCCTGTCTGCGGCGTCCCTCGCTATCTGCGCTATCTCCCTCCTCCTCCTCTCCTCAGCTTGCCCCGCAGCCGCTCGGCCCTCAACGGCGTCTATCCCTGGGGTTGCTACGGCTACGGGAGCGGTGTCCGCCCACCGGCGCCCACAGAGGGTCGCCTGGGCCGGCTGCTGTTGTCCCTCTTCTTGTCCCCCTCTCTGTCTCGGCTGCGGTCCCCCTCCCTCTCTCTCTCACGGCCTCGTTCCCTCTCGGCCGCCGCGTTCCCCTCTCCCTCTCGCGGGGACGTTTCCACATATTTGCAGCGCCCGGCTGACCCCGGC